CATATATGTGTATATAAAAAAATTTGAAGGGTTTGAAAAGTTTTAAGAAAAAGTTAATGACAAAATTGAATTAATTACCTGTATGGTTGAAAATACATTAGCACTTTTTCACTAAAAAAGATTTGATCAAAAAATGAATTTATGAGTTACTTTTCAGCATATATATATATATATATATATATATATATATATATATATATATATATATCAAAGTCTTGCGAAGTCAAAAACATTTACAAATATTCTCGAAGAAACGAGTGTTTTTAACAAAATATATTAGTAATATCGATATATAAATTATTACAGAATAAACCTGATGATGGAACGTACCTAGTTCCGAAACGTCGTATTAAACATCTTCAAACAAATTGTTTTTTATTATTGGATTTACTGTTCGGAAAAGAAACAATCAATATATTGAAAAAATCCAGGACTTATCTATTGAATATATATTTATATATATATATTTATATATATATATATATATATATATATATATATATATATGATTTAGTAGTTAATTTTGATGTTGAGATATATGAGTAAGTTCTTGTGGGGCGATACATCAAAGAATAAAAAGCAAAGATTAATAAATTAATCTTTAATTCCAAACGTTTTGACATTCAATTTAATGTCATCATCAGTGAATATTAACATTGGTAGGTTACATCTAAAGATGTGTACACAAGACTAGAAATTAGCACTAACATTTATACAACTAACTTGTCAACACCATGAATTTTTTTATCATTTTTTGTATGATGTAAAAATGAAAATGATAGTTTTATTTGACAAAAATGTGAGTAAAGTTAAGTAATTTCTGCCACAACTTGTGTACTTTGCAATATCCAAGGCATATCTAAATTAAAAATTAATTTGTATTTGCTTTTTATTCTTTCATGTATTGTCCCATTAGAACTTACTTATATATATATATATATATATATATATATATATATATAATCGTATATATATATATATATATATTAAGTATATATTTAACACTTACCAATTACTTATATCCTTTAATTTTGCACTAAGCACCTTCTTTTAACAATTGAACACTTTCTTACAATTACACAAAAACAACTAAACTAAATAATACCTCTGACCTTTAACCTGTACAAAAACACATTTTGGATTACCACAGATGATAATAAAACCTGACTGGTTGTGACCTGACCAACTTCAGAGCAGATAACATTTAAATACACCCAGGCCTCGCTATACGGCCGCTCTTTATACGGCCTTTCGCTATAACGGCCCTCTTTAATTAAGGAACGTTTTCGATATACGGCCTAAAATGTTTTGCTATAACGGCTTTTTTAACTTCGCGTAGGGCAAGTTACAGTAATCGCAAAAAAATCGTAAATGAAAATTTTTATATATCTTTACGTTTCAAAGTTTCAAACGTTTTGGAAAAACTATAATATAAAGGATGCTGTTGAGAACATTAGTGAATCCTGGAAGAAATTGAAATCGACAACAATGAACCATGTTTGGAAAAAAAAATATGGCCAGAATGTATAAAAAATACCGATGCAGAAGTTAATATCCTTCCTGAAGTTAGACAAAACATTTTGGATTTAGCACATTATCTCGGTTTTGAAGATTTAAACGAATCTGTTGTACTGGATCTACTTACAGCTGATAGGGAACCCCTTTCATATGAGGAACTCATTCAGTTGCAAGCAGTGCCGGCATATGATGAAGATACGGAATCTGTTGTATCCAAACAGCTAACATCAAAAATCATGTCGAGCGCTTTTTCATATTTTGAACAAGGAATAAACATCCTCCTTGAAAACGATCCGGACGTTGAACATAACGCTAATGTGTCTAGAGGAATTAACTCAGCCATTAGCTGTTATAGATCATTAGAGGAAGAAATAGACAAGAAGGCAAAACAAACAACTTTAGACAAATTTTTCAAACCACCAGCGCAAAATGATGGTGACAGTGATCTGTAGGTTTTAGTTGTTTCATTTTTATTTAAAAATTATGGAATGTTTTTGAAGTTTTTTATTTTATGTAAAATTTATGTTCTTGTTAAATATGTTTATAATTTAAACAAAATAAAAAAATAAAATGCATTTTGCATAAACCATAAATGCATAAACCATATTATATATTTATTAAATTTGGAACCGATCCCATTGAATTTGTATGAATACGTATTAGAATAATTGATTCGTCATACGGCTTTTCGCTTTACGGCCAAGTTTTGCGGAACGTATCTAGGCCGTAAAGCGAGGCCCCAGTGTATTTAAAAAAATTAGTTGTAAGTGGCATAAACTTGCAGATATGTGTAAATAAAACAATAAGAATTGAGATTTAGCTACTTTGCAATAAAAGATTTAGTAGGACATACAAGGTGAATGTCTTTAATGTACTTTTATAAATAACATGTATTTATTTATTTATTTTACAAGCCATTATGTTATTATTATAGCCACAATGTTATTATTATAACAAGGCCCAATTTTTATACAATTTATTTATTTAATTAATTTAATAGATAAATAGGAAGATAAACAAATATTCAGGTAAAAATGTAATGTATAAGGGTGGACAGGTAGCCAAGTACAAAAGTAAATAAGTTGACATTAAGTTTTACTAGGTAGGCACTTAGACAGATTTATCAATTATTTAATTTATTCATTACATTTATTTATATTTTTTATTATTTTTAGTAGTTCATCATTTTTATCCCGTAGGCCTATAATATTTTAAAGTGTTCTTTTTGACTATTTATATCGTGTCTGATTCAATTTTCTTTTAGTACTCTGAAAAAAATTGATTTTTGACATTTTTTAAATTTTTCCAAGGGAGGGCAAAATGTTCAGAAATCCCTGAAACGTAAAGATATGTAAAAAAAATTATTTTTGATTAGATAACAAAGACCAATAACTATTTAAATTGAAATTTTTGAGAAAATAAATCAGTACAGAATACAGAATGGAATATATTATATGTATTCATGTAATGCATGTCCTAAGAGCATGGCTCCTTATTCCAAACTTTTATAATTAAACCACTTTTCGCAGGCCTATAATATTTTACAATGTTTATATCACCTCACAGAAAAAAATTGATTTAATTCTTCCATATGTTTGACATTTGAATGAATTTATTTCACATATACAATATGATTTTATTTCAACCAAAGAAGTAAAATTTGGTGTAAATAATAATTTACCATAAAGGAAACGTCCATAGTAACTTCGGGCTTGCTTTGTTTTGTGTAGTCTGGTAATTCTTTATTAATGGTTGTTAATTATTTATTTGTTAGTTATTTTGGTAATTATTTGTTTTGGTTAGTAATTTGTTAGTTAAGTAGTCTGGTAATTATTGGTTGTTAGTTATTTGGTCGCAAAAAATCGAAAATGAAAATTTTTGCATATCTTTACTTTTCAGAAGTTTCTGAACATTTTGGCATACCTTAGAAAAAATGGATGATTGTGTTTGTGTGCGGATACAAATTTTCGTTTACAATTTCGGGAACACGGGTCAACCGATTTCAATAATTCAAAAAACATTCGATACCCACTGATAAGGAGACGTGCCGATTAGTTTTTGACAAAGGCAGGTCTAGCCGTTCCGAAGATACGGGGCAAAAAGTGCCGAAAACGGTAACTCAGTTTTTAAGAGAACGGAGCGTCCGATTTGAATAATTCAAAAAACATTTTATTTATATTGACTAAATGAAGAACTGTTCAGATTTTTGGAAAGGCAGGTCGAACGACTTTGGAGATACAGAGGAAAAAATGAGCCATTTGGCAGTCAAAAATGATCATTAGACATATGCACATCAAATTATCAGATATTTTATAGAAATTTTAACAATAAGTATAAATTTTGTTTACATTCCTATGGGTTCCGTACCAATGTTTACGCGTTAGACGGCGACGCACGTCTCTTTATCAATACGAATCGATTGTTTTTTGAATTATTCAAATCGGTTGATCCGTGTTGCCGAAATCGTCGACGAAAATTTGTATCCGAAGACACACACATGCACGCACATACACACACACACATACATCCATTTTTTCTAAGGTATGCCAAAATATTCAGAAACCTCTGAAACATGAAGATATATATAAATTTTCATTTTCGATTTTTTTGCGTTTACTATAACTTGCCCTACGTGTTAAAAGTTAACTTAAGTTAAAAAATAAAGGAACTCTACTGACAAGCAATTTAAATTTTAAACCAAAAAAAATTTACAAAGGACTCTACTGACGAGCAAATCATTTCATCAACCTAGAAGATGGGGAAGAAAGTATAGTAAATTTAAGGAAATAAAAAAAGTACTCTACTGACGAGCAAACAAATCTAGAATTAAAAAAGGGACTCTACTGACGAGCAAACTTAATCTAGAATTAGAAAGACTCTACTGATGAGCAAACGTAATCTAGAAGTAAAAAAGGAACTCTACTGACGAGCAAATTTAATATTAAACTAAAAATTTGAAAAAGAAACTCTACTGACGAGCAAACTTAATTTTAAACTAAAAAATTAAAAAAGGGACTCTATTGACGAGCAAACTTAATCTAGAATTAAAAAAGAGACCCTACTGACGATCAAACGTAATCTAGAATTAAAAAAGGGACTCTACTGACGAGCACATTTAATATTAAACTAAAAATTTGAAAAAGACTGACGAGCAAACTTAATTTTAAACTAAAAAATTTAAAAAGGGACTCTATTGATGAGCAAACTTAATCTAGAATTAAAAAAGAGACTCTACTGACGAGCAAACTAATCTAGAATTAAAAAAGAGACTCTACTGACGAGCAAACTTAATTTAGAATTAAAAAAAGGGACACTACTGACGAGCAAACTGAAATATTAACAAGGGACTCTACTGACGAGCAAATTATTATAAACGTGAAAGATGAAAAAAAAACTCGCGTGTATTTAAAAAAAAACTTTAATCTAATCATACAAATAAATAACAATACATCCATTTACAATCATAATTCATTTTACTCCCTTTAAAATTTGTCAACAGTCTCCAACAATAATTCCATCTGATACTCGACAGCGATCTTCTTCAAAGTCTTCATACAATTTTCGAAATCCTTTCGCGACAGAAGACTTTGGAATTCTCCGGCACACGAACAGTGTTTTGCCAAATTTTCCCTTTTGATTTCCCGACATTTCGAACAAATCAGATCTTGTAGGGCGTAGGACATTATTTTCCTCTGGAAAATGTCTAAGAGTTTTATCTCGATGTACTCGGTGGTGTAGGCCACGAGGCAGTTGGCGCATAACCAGACGGGCCTGGGAAAAGAAATAGAAATAATAAAATAAAATAAAAAAGAAATTGGTTTCAAAAAATTGTATCCACACATACATACATAAATACAGACACACATCCAATTTTTCAATAAAAAGTTTCGTATATTTTTCTTAACATTAAATTCTTGCGCCATCTGTGATAACACTATTTGTAAAAATAATGTTACATACAAGCTAGTTGTGAAAAATCAAATTATATATATATATATATATATATATATATATATATATATATATATATATATATATATATATATATATATATAAGAGCTGGCCTGACAAACATGGTTTAGCCAAAAAAAAATATTTCCAGAAAATTTTCAGTACGTAATTTTCGTATCGTAATAGACTTATGGGTGGTCCTTAATATGGATGTTTTCGAATTTCTTTGCTCCCAAGGGTTCAAATGTTTCCAAATTAATAAAAGGAAATTCTCTAAAAGTTTTAGCTTTTAACATTAACATTTAGATAGTCCGCAAGTCAATTAAGGCGAGTGAGGTTAACAAGCGATTGAAGTAAAACTTTTTTGCTACTGTACAAGATGGCATTTAAGTGAAAATAAATACATCATATAACAATTTTGAATAATGTTTATTAGTAATATGGTAACACTTGTGATGCACACATTTATTAGTGTCATCAACCATTATACACATTTATATAATGATAAATTATAAATTATATATTTATAATAGCATTAAAAATATGTATAATATTAAAAACAATAATGTAATTAAAGTCGTACTTCAAATGCGACACGATCGGTTTGTCATTATAATTAGCGTTTAGAAATGAACCTTCGTTAGAGAAATGAAATAATTGCTGATTAATAAATTGTATGATATTCGCAACTTCACTCATCATGTAATAATTTTGTTTGAAGAACTTCATGTAATTAAAATTAACATACATTCATTTACTGTTTGTATTTTTTTTACTATTTCGCTGGCGATATAATCTCATTCTTTGAACAGCTGTAATATTTGTCCTGTCTAAAAAATATTCTCCATCACCATAACTTCAAAGATTTTATAGACTACAAGTCCATTTTTGATTTTATTTCTGGTATTGCTTGTCAGTAGAGTCCCTTTTTAATTTTATTTTTACATGCTCGTCAGTAGAGTCCCTTACAGTATGCTCGTCAGTATAGTCCCTTTTACCTTTAATTTTAATTTTATCATCACTTTGAATTTTATTTTTATTTTTCTCGTCAGTAGAGTTTCCCTCCTTTTTTCATTTTAAGTTTGGTCGTCAGTAGAGTCCCTTTTTATTTACGAATAATATAGAAATAATTTCTAATCAATAAACTTACGTTCAGTACACGGCCATACCATAACCTTTTCTATATATTTTATTTTTTGCTCGTCAGTAGAGTCCCTTTTTTAATTCTAGTTTAGTTTGCTCGTCAGAAGAGTCCCTTTTTGTATATTTTAGCTTTAGCTCGTCAGTACAGTCCCCTTTTTAATTCTAGATTAGTTTGCTCGTCAGTAGAGTCCCTTTTTTAATTCTGGATTAGTTTGCTCGTCAGTAGAGTCCCTTTTTTAATTCTAGATTAGTTTGCTCGTCAGTAGAGTCCCTTAATCCCTTAATCCCAGTAGAGTAGAGTTTTTTTAAATAATTTCCTAGCTTTTGCTCTAATAAGAAAAAGCGAGGAAACGTATATTGCAATATATAAAAATAAAAAAGGACTCTACCGACGAGCAAACTGAAGTACAACCCTATGATGAAAAAAGGACTCTACTGTCGAGCAAATTGTGTTTTAAAAGACACGAAAAAGGACTCTACTGACGAGAAAATTAAAAAATAACTTAGAGGATAAAAGGAACTCTACTAACGAGCAAACTGAAATACAATCCTGAAAATAAAAAAGGACTCTACTGACAAGCAAATTAAAAAACAATTTAGAAGGGGCTCTACTGACGATCTAATTGATTTTTAATCTCATAAATTCAGAAGATAAGAAGGGTCTCTGCTGACAAATAAATTGGTTCTCAAAATCATGAGCTTCATACTTTTGGACCGGTTCGATATTTATTTATTTATTTATTTATAATTTCTAACCTAATTGTCCGAGTGTTTTGCAATATTTAACAAATTTATAACCAATTAAATTATCTATAACTTTTAGTAACAACAAAATTTTGTATCTCTTATCCTTTTACCCAAAATTTGCAATGAAACAGGTTGTTGTTAAATTTTGGAGGTTGCATCAGTATATCTTGCTTCACACTTTTGGACCAGCTCGATTTTTATTTAATTATTCATAACTTCAAAACGAAATGTCCCACCATTTTGCAATATTCAGCAAATTTATAGCCAATTAAATTATCTATAACTTTTATTAACAACAAAAAATTGGTATCTCTTGTCCTTTTATCAAAAATTTACATTTAAAAAGGTAATTGCTTAAATTTGGTGGTCACATCGTACTCATATATCTTACTCTGTCTCTGAGAAACAACTTGAAAATTAGAAATGACTCTACTGATCGACCCGTATAGAAATGATATCGTCAAGAGCGAATGACGAATCATTGGCACTCGACTCTTATCTTATTTGTACGGATTTACACCCTAGTCGCGCCTAGAGAAGTTTTACTTCAAAAACTGTGGACAGTCCAAAAATTCTTAAACGATCACGTGATCAATGGACGTCCCTTATCGAGTTACATAAAAATTGTTTTTGAATTTTTAACTTCCCGTAGGGTAAGTTATTGTAATGGGCCGAAAATCGGAATTGAAAATTTTAACATTTCTCGACGTTTTGAAGGTTTCTGAACGTTTTGGCATACCTCAGAAAAAATGGATGTGTGTGTGTGTGTATGTGTGTGTGTGTGTGTATGTATGTACGGATACAAATTTCCAGTCACGTTTTAGGGCGCACGGATCAACCGATTTGAATGGTTCAAAAAGCATTCAATTCCTATTGATAGGGAAAAGAGCTGATTAGTTTTTGGCAAAGGCAGGTCCAGCCGTTTCGGAGATACGGAGCAAAGAGTGCAGAAAATAGAAATCGAATTTTGGAGAACGGAGTATCCGATTTGAATCATCTAAAAAACATTCAATTAGTAATGATTGGGAGAAGTGTTTATTAGTTTTTGGCAAAGGCAGGCCCAGCCATTTTGAAGATACGGAGCTAAATATGTAAAAAATGGCAGTTTTTGAGAGAACTAAGCGTCCGATTTAAATGATTCAAAGAACTTTCTGCTTGTCTTAACAAAATAATTGATTTTGGAAAAAAAAATTTGTTCCAACTTTTTTTTTTTTTTTAATTTTTTTGTATATCGAAAATATTTCAGATTTTATTTTTAATTCTGACTATAGTTCTAATATACTTTACAAATAATTTCAACTCTGCAATTCAGTTTATATAATATTTATAAATATTAGACAATGTTACAATATTTATAATAATCTATTTGAAAACATTCAATATTCCTCCAACATTTCGTTACGGTACGGGAAGTTCCAGCAATTTGCCTTAAGGCACGATGCCACCCACCCCACTAGTTTAAATTGATTCAGCACTTTTCGAGAGAACATCGATGAATTAATTAATGAAGACGTGTGACATTTGCTAAATCGGGAGAGTCCGCGATTGTCGTCGGCAACGTTCGCTCAGACAAGAACACATATGAGGACTAGCAGCCAATGTAGTCTATGATAATTTATATTTTATTTATGGTTACTCACAAGTCGTCCTTCATGGCCCGATGTTTGTCCCGGCAAAGATCGACATCCCGACAATGGTTGCAAGTCTTGCAAATGATCTCGCGAAGTACAAAGGAGTCACAAGGATTCGTCCAAATGGCACGATCACTAAAATCGCCGACACCAATTAGTCGCAACATATTATGATGTAGAGTCTCAACCTGAAAACAAACCAAAACATACAACCCTAATATATTTATATTTATATATATTTTTAGCTTCCCGTAGGGTAGTTATAGTAATGGGCCGAAAATCGAAAATGAAAATTTTTGCATTTATCGATGTTTTGAAGGTACAAGGAACATTTTCACTGGCATACCTCAGAAACTAAATGGATGTGCAGGAAAAAAATTCTATTCCTATTGATAGAAAGATGTGCTGATTAGTTTTGGCAAAGGCAGGTCCTGCCGTTACGTAGATACGGAGCAAAGAGCGCAGAAAATAAAAATCGAGTTTTTGAGAGAACTGAGTATCGGATTTGAATGATCTAAAAAACATTCTGTTTGTAATTACGGGGAAAAGAACTCTACTGACAAGCAAATAAAAATATCAGGAAAAGGGACTCTACTGACAAGCAAAATTTTGCTTAAAACGTTTTGAAAGAAAAAGGGACTCTACTGACGAGCAAATTAAAAATATTGTAAGAAAAAGAAACTCTACTGACAAGCATAATGAAAATATTACAAAAAAGGGGCTCTACTGACGAGCAAATAAAAATACAAAGAGAAAAAGGGACTCTACTGACGAGCAAATAAAAATACAAAGAGATAAAAAGGACTCTACTGACGAGCAAACTTAATTTAGAATTAAAAAAGGGACTCTACTGACGAGCAAATGTAATCTAAAATTAAAAAAAGGATTCTACTAACGAGCAAACTAATCTAGAATTAAAAAAGGGACTCTACTGACGAGCAAACTTAATCTAGAATTTAAAAAAGGGACTCTACCGACGAGCAAACTAATATAGAATTTAAAAAAAGACTACTGACGAGCAGACGAGTATTTCAGTTTGTTCGTCAGTTCATATAATGCAAAATATAGTTTGCTTGTCAGTAGAGTCCTTTTTATTTTCATGCCTGGTGAAATACAGTTGATGATGAAAAATACTAAATACAAAAATTCAAAAAATTACCCAGACTAAGCACAGTCTAAGCCACTCTGGTACAAATGTTTACTCAAGTGCGTTTAGACTGTTTCTGTATTGGAACACTTTTCCAATTTTGTGAAAACGAAAACTATTGAAAAATGTGAAAATGCCGCCAAGCTAAGCACAGTATAAGTGAAAATGTCGCACAGAATTATTTGCAAGTGCGTTTAAACTGTGACTTAATTTGTTCGTCAGTAGAGTCCTTTTTCTAATAAAATTTTATTTTGCTGGTCAGTAGAGTCTCTTTTTGTACTGAAATTTTTATTAGCTCGTCAGTAGAGCCCCTTTTTGTATTAAAATTTTCATCAATCATCAAAGTCCCTTTTGTATTAGAATTTTAAATTAGCTTGTCAGTAGAGTCCCCTTTTGTTTTGACATTTTAATTTGCTCGTCAGTAGAGTCCCTTTTTGTATAATTAGTCGTCAGTAGAGTCCCTTTTTTATGGACATTTTAAATTTGATCGTCAGTAGAGTTCTATTTTGTATTGGCATTTTAATTTGCTCGTCAGTAGAGTCCTTTTTTGTCTTCCAGATTCATAATTTATTTGCTTGTCAGTAAAGTCCTTATTTTGTCTTCTAGATTTATAATTTATTTGTTCGTCAGTAGAGTCCTTATTTTGTCTTCTAGATTTATAATTTATTGTGACAATGAGAAGAAATTTCTCAATTTTTATGTAATATCCAAAAAATATTTTTCTTTGAAAATCTAAATTTGGATCAATTTCAATTCTAAGAAAATAAATCATAAAAATGTAATTTTGGGCTAGACTATTGAAAAATGTGAAAATGTTGCCAAGCTAAGCACAGTATAAGTGAAAATGTCGCACATAATTATTTGCAAATGCGTTTAGACTGTGACTATACGGGAGCACTTTTTCAATTTTGTGCAAATTTGGACAACTATTTTTCTTTTGAAATTGAATTCGAAATGAAATGACGATTGTTAATGTTCTGGAGATAAATTTGTTTATTTATAATTTACATTTGATTTGCTCAGATATAACAAGATAGCAAAAATAATGAAAGTTACAACAGTATTTACAATAATCTATATGAAAACGTTTAAAATTTCTTTAACATCTCAATACGGTACGGGAAGTACCAGCAATTTGCTCTAAGGCACGATGCCATACACCACTAGTTATATTTATATATTTATATTTATACCCACAACCCTCTATCATCCCCTTACCTCTTCCTCAGTCCTCGTATCAATCGACAGCACCTTATGAACCGCCTTGGCGTACTCCAGAGCAGGATTCGAGGTCATCTTTTCCTTCTTCAGTCTCAATTTGTGCATTTTCTGAACAGCCCCAAGGGCCATGAAGGATAAATTGGTGACGGCTTTCGAAACGTTCATGGCGGCATCGAGACTGACATTGTGACTGCTTTGTATCGTGTTGTCCGGTAGTTCTCTGTTGATAGTCGCCAGTTCTTCCATGTATCTTAGCATTAGGGCTTCGAAGTGCTCGCGACAATTGAGGTCGGCTGGTAGGCCTTCTGCTATGTTCCAGTTCATGTCTAGGTCTTGCTAAAAGGGATAAAGGGTAAAAGATAGAGGATTAGTTAGAATTTTTAAGGGAGAGTGAAGATTTGTGATGATTATGAATGTTTTTATTAAGAAAGAACGATTTGGAGAACGTTGTGTTAAATGTCTGACTTGTATATATATATATCTACTGGACAGATAGGCTCATATAGTGACAGCACGGAGGAAACAAAATAAATTCAAGTCAGATCGGATCTCGCTTTTGTTTCTCCCTAGTCTAATTTGCCAAAATTATAATTCTTGAAACCTTTCTTTTCAATTGTAAATACAAAAATACCAATCACATTTTATAAACGATCAATATGATAACACATAGTGTCGTCAATATTAATCCTACGTAAAATAAACCAAATATAAAACATTATATCGAACGATTTGTAACGGATAACACATAATACTAATTTAGGTTTACATATTTTAAATTTTAATTATAACACACTGATGATGAGACAAACCTAGTCTCGAAACGTTTGTGAAAATTATTATTTAATAAATTAGTGCAAAAAAAGGTGTTGTTTGTTCGTATTTCTAAAATAATATATATATATATATATATATATATATATATATATATATATATTTATATCGTTTGTCGATTAAAACAGTCATGAAACTTCTATTGCAACCTCCAACAAGTTGAATTGAGAAATCTTGAACTTAAAAAAGGACCATACTGGCAAGCAAATAAATTATAAATCTAGAAGACAAAAAAAGGACTCTACTGACGAGCAAATAAAATATAAATCTAGAAGACAAAAAAGGATTCTACTGACGAGCAAATAAAATATAAATCTAGAAGATAAAAAAGGACTCTACTGACGAGCAAATTAATTATAAATCTAGAAGATAAAAAAAAGATTCTACTGACGAGCAAATAAAATATAAATCTAGAAGATAAAAAAGGACTCTACTGACGAGCAAATTAATTATAAATCTAGAAGATAAAAAAGGGACTCTACTGTCGAGCAAACTAATCTAGAATTAAAAAAGGGACTCTACTGACGAGCAAACTAATCTAGAATTAAAAAGGGGGTTCTACTGACGAGCAAACTAATCTAGAATGAAAACGGGACTCTACTGACGAGCAAACTTAATCTAGAATGAAAAAGGAAATCTACTGACGAGCATAATTAATCTAGAATTAATAAAAGAGACTCTACTGACGGAGCAAAACTAATCTGGAATTGAAAAAGGGACTCTACTGACGAGCAAACCTAATCTAGTATTTAAAAAGGGACTCTACTGACGAGCATAATTAATCTACAAAAAAAAAAAAAAACTCTACTGACGAGCAAATGTAATCTAGAATTAAAAAATGGACTCTACTGACGAGCAAACTTAATCTCGAATTAAAAAAGAAACTCTACCGACGAGCAAATTTAATCTAGAATTAATAAAAGGGACTCTACTGACGAGCAAACTTGAACTAGAATCAAAAAAGGGACTCTACTGACGGGCAAACTTAATCTAGTACTAAAAAAGGGACTCTACTGACGAGCAAACTTAATCTAGTATTAAAAACTCTTCAAAATCACCAGCAAATACTCTAATCTTACCGCTTCATCATCCTCATCATCATTTTCAGCAGTCCCCATTTCGAGTTCTGTATTATTCACCAAACCACTTGGTAATTTTCCTCGAACCCCCGAAAAATTGGCAGCGTCCATCCATAGAAGGAAATCCCAGCATTGCTGATAGGATAAATCTATACTATGAAATAATTCTTTATTCCTGATGCTCTGGACGACGAAATCGACGTATCCGATGGCATCGGAGACTTTTCTTTTACCTTAATAAAAGATAAGAAAACAACGGTGTTAATTTTAAATAAGAAAGGAAAAGGAAAAAGAAATCTTTGATTTATGGTGAATTATTATTATTATAGTAGATGACCCGGTAAACATCGTTTTGCTAAGTAAGGTATATTGTAAACAATTTCTAGAGAATCAAAAATATTAATACTTGAGGTGTATAACAAACATAATATTAAGAAACTACAATCAGTACAAAATATTTTATTAAGATTTGTTATAGGCCAAAGCAAGGAATCCAATAAATATGCTATTCTGTAATCACAAATATAATTTATTATTTATTGTTTTTCTTAAAGCACTACGTGCTATTTGAAGGTTATCCGAAGTTCTTCCGGCCTTGCTGTTAGATTTTGGAATCACGTTTTGTTTACAATTATTTAGTATATAAGAAGTAGTTAAGATTTAGTTAGTCAGTCAGAAATCAGAAGTCAGAAATCAGGAGTCAAGTCAGGCTTACTGTTTACATACTTAAAAAAATGTAGTCTCTGATCATCGATAACCAAGAGGTTATCGAACAAATTATTTAATTGTAAAAAAATAGTAAACAATAAAATATCAAGATCAACCAAGAACCAGTGTTTTTATCTTATCAACCGCTCAGCTCCAGCTACCAAATAACCTCCCATAATCTCAGAAGTGATCCAAACAACCACACAATTACAGTTCAATGCATTATATTAGCACAAAATTCTTACATGATTCCACTAATGTACCATTAGTGAGAGATTTTATAACAATTATCTCTGAAAGATTTTATACTAATTGTTTATTTAACTTAAACGGGTGTAAAAGAAATGACCTGGAAGCAGAAGTATGGTAAAGGAAATATATGATTTGTGGTCAATTATTTTAATTATAGTAGATGACCCGACAGACGTTGTCCTGTACCTAAGTCTACAATTTTTTAATATAATATACTAATATTTACCGTTTACCTAAAAATAATAATTGCTGCTTTTTAAATTTAAACTCTTCACGCCAAAATGCATTCACATTTATAATATGAGCGATGCTAAATGTTAATTTAACGTGCAAAAAGATAGAAAACATACAAAAAATGGAACTCTATTATATATATATATATATATATATATATATATATATATATATCAGCTTTTGTCCGTCAGTAGAGTTCTTTTAATAATTTTCTATACTTTTGCTCGTTAGTAGAGTCCCTTTTTTAATACTAGATTAGTTTGCTCGTCAGTAGAGTCCCCTTTTTAATTCTAAATTAATTTGCTCGTCGGTAGAGTCCCTTTTTTAATACTAGATTAAGTTTGCTCGTCAGTAGAGTCCTTCTTTTAATACTAGATTAGTTTGCTCGTCAGTAGAGTTCCTTTTTTAAATTCTAGATTAGTTTGCTCGTCAGTAGAGTTTCTTTTTTAATTCTAGATTAGTTGGCTCGTCAGTAGAGTCCCTTTTTGTATATTTTAGCTTTTGCTCGTCAGTAGAGTCCCTTTTTGTTTATTTTGGCTTTTGTTCATCAGTAGAGTCCTTTTAATAATTTTCTATTCATTTGCTTGTCAATAGAGTCCCCTTTTAATAATTTTTTAACCTTTTGCTCGTCAGTAGAGTCCTTTTAATAATTTTCTATCCTTTGCTATTCAATGTTAAATGTAGAACTGCTTTAAAGGGTAAGTTATAGTAATTGCAAAAAAATCGAAAATGAAAATTTTTATATATCTTTACGTTTCAGAGGTTTCTGAATATTTTGGCATATCTTAGAAAAAATGGATGTATGTGTGTGTGTGTATGTGTGTGTGTGTGTGCGTGTGTGTGCGGATACAAATTTTCGTCGACGATTTCGGGAACACGGATCAACCGATTTGAATAATTCAAAAAACATTCGATTCGTATTGATAAGGAGACGTGCTGATTAGTTTTTGGCGAAGGCAGGTCTAGCCGTTCCGAAGATACGGGGCAAAAAGTGCCAAAAACGGTACCTCAGTTTTTAAGAGAACGGAGCGTCCGATTTTAATAATTCAAAAAACATTTGACTTGTGTATTGACAAGATAAAGAACTGATCAAATTTTTATAAAGGCAGGTCTAGCGGTTTCGGAGATCTACCGAAAAAAGTAAAAGAAATGCCATTCGGCGGTTAAAAATGATCATTAGACATATGCACATCAAATTATCAGATATTTTATAGAGATTTTAACAATAAGTATAAATTTTGTTTGCATTTCTATGGGTTCCGTTCCAATGTTTATTCTTTAGACGGCGACGCGGCGCTTAGGCGCTTTGACATTTTGTCTCAATGCAGTTAAAGCAGTACGATTGCTTTGAAAAAAAGTTCTGAATTTCCAAAATATGTCAAAATGAAGAAAACATTTTTTTTAAAAAAAAAAGTAATTTTTTGTCAAATTCTTAGTTTCTCAAAAATCTAATTTTTTCGAAGTAAAATTTTTTCAAAAATGTTAATTGTTTTTAAAAAAATAATAATTTTTGGTACGGGATGTTCTTAATCTGGTATTAAAAAATGGACTCTACTGACGAGCAAACTAATCTAGAAATTAAAAAAGGGACTCTACTGACGAGCAAATTTAATTTAGAATTAAAAAAGGGACTCTACTGACAAGCAAATTTAATTTAGAATTAAAATGGACTCTACGGACGAGCGCACTAATCTAGAATCTAAAAAAGAGACTCTACTGACGAGCACACTAATTTAGAATTAAAAAAGGTACTCTACTGACGAGCAAATTTAATTTAGAGTTAAAAAAGGGACTCTACTGACAAGCAAATTTAATTTAGAATTAAAATGGACTCTACGGACGAGCGCACTAATCTAGAATCTAAAAAAGAGACTCTACTGACGAGCAAACTTAATCTAGAATTAACAAAAGGGACTCTACTGACGAGCAAACTTAATCTAGAATTAACAAAAGGGACTCTACTGACGAGCAAACGAATCTAGTATTAAAAAAGGGACTCTACTGACGACCAAACTTGAACTAGAAATAAAAAAAAGGGAGTCAAAGTTCGTTTTCAATCATGTGTAATAAATCCACTCGGAATACTTCTAATCACTTATAAATTAATTTTTTTTTTTTTGATTAAGTCGATTATTTACACATATCGGGAAGTTCATGTAAATTGCCTCAAGGCTAAATACCAATACCAACTAGTTTATTATTATTATTACCTGTGCATATAATAATCTTATTAAAATCAGCATACACAATATCGGCCCCGAGTCGCTGAAACTCCGCAACCAGTTGCAAGAACAGCTTCTTCATCAGATTGTTCAGGGCCCTTCGCAGGGCCGGATCGTACAAAAGTGCCCTCGAAGACTGTATCCATCGATAGAAATGCATCACTTGATAATCGGCGAACACGTTCCTGTGTATTGTGACATCTCTGAGCCACGAATTCACCATCGAGCGCATTACTTTGAAAGCCGCACTGCAAAGGGCAGTGTCGTCGTAACTTTGGAGCATCACGGAGTTGGTTTGGGGGGCTATCATGTCCTCCAGTGACGCTTGGGGGATCGTATCGAAGGTCATACCTGGGGGTAAAGGATAGAGGGTTTATTTAAACTAGATAAGGGATATAGGATTTTGTTAACTTTCCGTATGGTAGTTATAGTAATGGGCCGAAAATCGAAAATTTTCTCGACGTTTTAAAGGTTTCTGAACATTTTTAAAGGGCATACATCAGAAACTAAATGGATGTGTGTGTGTGTTTGTGTTTTTCATGTCCGCATTTTTAGTATTAAAAAAGGGACTCTACTGACGAGCAAACTGATCTAGAAATAAACTAATGGGGCGTATGGCATCGTGCCTTAAGGCAAATTGCTGGAACTTCCCGTACCGTAACGGAATGTTCGAGGAATACTGAATGTTTTCAAATAGATTATTATAAATATTGTAACATTGTCTAATATTTATAAGAATTATATAAACTGAATTGCAGAGTTGAAATTATTTGTTTAAAGTATATTAGAACTATAGTCAGAATTAAAAATAAAATCTGAAATATTTTCGATATACAAAAAACTAAAAAAAAAAAAAAGTTGGAACAAATTTTTTCTTTCAAAATCAATTATTTTGTTAAAACAAGCTGAAAGTTCTTTGAATCATTTAAATTGGACGCTTAGTTCTCTCAAAAACTGCCATTTTTTACATATTTAGCTCCGTAACTTCGAAATGGCTGGGCCTGTCTTTGCCAACAACTAATAATCACTTCTCCCAATCATTACTAATTGAATGTTTTTTAGATCATTCAAATCGGATGCTCCGTTCACTCAAAAACTCGATTTCTATTTTCTGCACTCTTTGCTCTTTTTCTCCGTAACTGCTGGACCTGCCTTTGCTAAAAACTACAGCACAATTGCTAAAAAAAACAGCACATCTCTTTATCAATAGGAATCAAATGTTTTTTGAACCATTCAAATCGGTTGATCCGTGCGCCCGAAAACGTGACTGGAAATTTGTAGCCATACATACATACACACACACACACATCCATTTTTTCTGAAGTATGCCAAAATGTTCAGAAACCTTCAAAACGTCGAGAAATGCAAAAAATTTCAATTCCGATTTTCGGCCCATTACAATAACTTACCCTACGGGAAGTTAAAAAACGACTCTACTGATGAGCAAACTAATCTAGAATTAAAAAAGGGCTCTACTGATGAGCAAACTAATCTAGAATTAAAAAAGGGACTCTACTGACGAGCAAACTTAATCTACAAATCTACAAAAAAGGACTCTACTGACGAGCAAATAAATTATAAATGTAGAAGATAAAAAATGACTCTACTAATGTACAAGCAGAAACAAAAAACTGAACTGAACTCTACTGACAAGCAATAGAAGTTAAGGAAAAAAAGGGACTCTACTGACGAGCAATCAAAATTAAGGAGAAATACAAAAATATTTTTCTTTGAAAATCTAAATTTGGATATTAATTTCAATTCTAAAAAAAATACATTGTAAAAATGTAGTTTCGGGCTAAAAATGCAAAAACTACGAAGACTAAGCACAGTCTAAGTGAAAACCTGGTGCAAATATATTTGCAAGTGCGTTTAGACTGTTTCTATACTAGACCACTTTTCCAATTTTATATAAATTATAAAAATGTAATTACTAGTTTAAAAAAATTTAAAAAAATGTGAAAAACTACCTCTGCTGAGCGCAGTCTAAGTGACAACCCAGTACAAAAATTTTTGCAAGTGCGTTTATAATGTGACTATGCAGGAGCGTTTTTATAAATTTTATGAAAACTATTGAAAAATGTGAAAATGCCGCCAAGTCAAGCACAGTATAAGTGAAAATGTCGCACAGAATTATTTGCAAATGCGTTTAGACTGTGACTTAATTTGTTCGTCAGTAGAGTTATTTTTTTAATAAAATTTTAATTTGCTCGTTAGTAGAGTCTCTTTTTGTATTAGAATGTTATTTTGCTCGTCAGTAGAGTCTCTTTCAGTACTGAAATTTTTATTAGCTTATCAGTAGAGAGTCCCTTTTTGTTTTGACATTTTAATTTGCTCATCATTAGAGTCCCTTTTTTATGGACATTTTAAATTTGACCGTCAGTAGAGTCCCTTTTTGTATTTCCATTACAAATATGCTCATCAGTAGGGTTCTATTTTGTATTAGAACTTTAATTTTGTCGTCAGTAGAGTCTCTTTTTCTATTAACATTTGAAAATTGCTCGTCAGTAGAGTCCATTTTTTATTTTCTAGATTTCAATTCAAATTTGCTTGTCAGTAAAGTCACATTTTGTATTAAAGTTTTAATTTGATCGTCAGTAGAGTCCCTTTTCTCTTAGAATTTTAATTTCATCGTCTTGTACTATAATGATACAACTTTTTGAATTTTGTGCAAATTAGGCAACTATTTTTTTTTGAAATTGAATTCGAAATGAAATGACGATTGTTAATATTCTGGAGATAAATTGATTTATGATTTACATTTGATTATTTGCTCGGATATAACAAGATATCAAAAATAATGAATGTTACAGCATTTGTAATAATATATTTGAAAACATTTAATATTCCTCGAACATTTCATTACGGTACGGGGAAGTTCCAGCAATTTTCCTCAACCCACGATGCCATACACCACTAGTTATTTACCTGACACTGCTCCCTCGGTCTCCTGTATCCTGTTAGCCTGCAACAGAGCGCTCACAGCAAGACTGTCGACCGATAATTCCACGCAAACGTTCGTGTAAAGTCCTTGTTTATTCTTCAAAGCTGTTTTGGAGTCTTCGAATTCGGAAAGGAGTCTACTGTCATCCGATTCTCGACCTCCTAAATCAGGTCTGTTCGTGGAGGAGCACCACAGGACAAAGTTGTGCTTCTGGAGGTTCCTTGCGAAGAACAAGTCTGCACCGAAGAGGAAGGTGTCGGGGTGCATGTTGCCTATAGGGATGCGGAAATACCTTGAAGGGAAATGGACATTGAATGGTTGCTTTTAGTGTGGATGATTTAATTATGTCGTTATCTTACCTGCATTGATTCAGCATCAAATTTAATATATGATCCATGTTGAAATAATGTCTGATAACAGCTCGTGAACCTGTTCTTTGCCAATCGAGACCAGCCAGTAAGGAAGCAGAGTCTGTCACGTGAATCTGATACAAAAAAAATTATTAATCGACACCATTTTTAAATTATACTTGCATGAATATATATATATATATATATATATATATACATATACATATATAAAATTCTTCTGTACAGGTGTATGATTTGATACTTCTCCTAAACGGTTATTCGGATTTTGATAAATCTTTTTAGAATTTGTCAAAGGAAATGTTTAAGATTTAATTCAACGGTAAAACTGTAGTAATATTGTAGAAATGAATGGCAAAAATTACAAAAAAAAAAAAACACTTATCATTGTTTGACATTGAAAGCTTTATACTTTTCTTGTATATTATATTCTAATATTATCTAGGCTCATAATTTCAGCTGAGAGAATTGAAATTTATAACAGATGACAGTTCAATGTCAAACAATGATAAGTTTTTATTTTGTAATTTTTGCCAGACATTTCTAGAGTATTACTATAGTTTTATCGTTCATTAAATCTGAAAAATTTCCATTGACAAACTCTAAAAAGATTTATCAAAATCCGAATAACCGTTTCGGAGAAGTATCAAACAATACACTAGAACAGAAGAATTTTATATATAAGATATATATTCCTGTTACTTAAATGCAATTTTGCAGTCAAATAATCGAAATAAAAGACAATAAATAATTAAAATATTTATTTTGTATGTTTCGACACGGTATGTGTTTCATCATTCAGCAAATTTCAACGAAATCTTGTCATATTTCAACAATTGTTAAAATATATTTAATGATGACACACATACAGTGTCGAAACGTACAAAAGAAATAGTTTAATCATTTATTATTTCATGCAAAGGTTTAGCAACCCTTAAGATTTTTTTAATTTTTTTAACATTTTTTTTATTTTATTCGTAATAAGTTAATAAATTGTTTTCCAAAGTAAGATTTAAGCTCAAAATTCTGAACTAAAATTATGTCGATGTTATGATTGAATTACTATATTGGCTATACAAAATAAGGGTTGATGATAAAAAAGTAAATTTGTTGTATGTATTTTTAATGCCACATTATAAAAAAACAAAAACAAAAATTATAGTCTAAAAATTTATGTCAAAAATGTTAATCTTTTTAAAAAAATAGTTTTTGGTACGGAAAGTTCCAGCAATTTGCCTTAAGGCACGATGCCATGCGCCCCACTTATTTCATTTTATTTTGAGACTCAGTTTGCTCGTCAGTAGAGTCCTTTCTTTACCTTTTAGTCTGATATTTAATTTGCTCGCCAGTAGAGTCCTTTATTTATTTTCTAGTCTGATAAACAATTTGCTCGTCAGTAGAGTCCTTTTTTAATCTTTTAGTCTGATATTTAATTTGCTCGTCAGTAGAATCCTTTCTTTATTTTCTAGTCTGTTATTTAATTTGCTCGTCAGTAGAGTTCTTTTTTGATACTTTAGTCTGATATTCAATAATATCATAATTAAATCATAGTCACGTAAAACATCCTATTAAACGCGATTAAACATCATCTGGCAAAAACATCCGATATTTAACGTATTAAATTATTCACCGTCCATTGTTTTATTCAAATCACGCTTTTACATAAATGTTCAAATTAAAAATATAAAGTTTCTACGCAATTTCGAAACAATATCTCACCTTTCCGACAACCTACTGATTAGCACGTATTTTTCAAGACTAACTCTGGCCAAATCGGTTTAGCCGTTTTCGGGATTTTGCGGATCATTTTAACGAGAGCTCCAATTTTATATACAAGAATATAAATAAATAATGAATAAATAAATCTATTATTATTACCTGTGCTTGTGGGAACTCCATCAACGTCGGTATGATACAAATCGGTTTAGCCGTTTTCCAGTTTTAGGGGATCATTTGATCGAGAGCTCCATTTTTATATATAAGATATATAAATAAATATAATAAATCTATTATTACCTGTGCTTGCGGGAATTCCATCAACGTCGGTATCAGCCCATTCAATTTATCCAGCCCCAAAGAACTCTGCACGGCCATCAGGGTAGGTCCTTTCCTCTCCTCCTTGTACAAATTGAGCACCGTCTGCACAGTTTTGTAAACCTGATTCATACCAGTCTCGAAATGGACTTCGAAAATAAAATTCTCCGGCGGCAATTTACCATTTTCATTCTGACTTCCACCAAACTTAGCCTCTCTTTCGGCAGCATACAAAGATTTCAAATTCGGCATCTGGTTCGTCTTAACCGTATCGACGACTATTACATAACCCTTTCTGGTCGCGTTAAAAAACAAAGCCCAGATTTCGCGTTTGCTAGAAGGTATGCTGTGCTGGTAGAAGAATATACGTTTCAGGACGTTCTGAGAGTCGTCGAGATAGGATTTTTTTATCTCGTTGGTGTTGTAGATTTGCAGTTGTTCTAGGTGGAATGATTGTAGGGCGTTGGAGGAATTCAGGGATAGCTTTTTGGCTTCGTTTCGCTCGACGCAGCAGATGCAGCCGAGTTCGAGAAGGACGCGGAATTCCGGTGACATTTGGGTTTCGTAAATGCCTTCGATTGTGGGTGCTGCTAAATCGGCCAGGAGACCCCTGGAAAAAATAAAAATTAGTTATAGGTGGCATTTAGCCTTAAGGCAACTTCCTGAAATGTTGTAAGTTGCATGAACTACCCGAAATGTGTGAGAATTGACTTAACGTTGACTTAAGCCAGAAAAATTATCCATAAATGACTGTCTTAAGTAGTGATTTATAGTTTATTAAATGTTTAATATTATTAGTTTTTATTTAATGTTATATATTTTTAGTTTATATTAAGTGTTATGTATATATATAAAAAGCTATCTATGAACTCTCGTATTATTTTATTATTCAAAAATTTCATTTATATTATTTATGAATTTTATTAATATTATTATTTGCATTTATTTTATATTAAATCATCATACTACGGATATCATTTTAATGTAAATGCTATCCTTTATTTTGTATTTTTTTTATTTAAATTTATGTTATTATTTATCAATATTGCTAGATGTTAATTATTTAACAGTTGTAATAAATATTGTAATTTAAAAAAATCTATGAACTCTTAATACTCTAATTTTCTCACATATTACCTCTTTAGTTTATAATTTGTACACTTAAAAATGTAACTATATTGCATTATTGCCTTGGACGTTGAATAAATAAATAAATAAATAAATAAATAAATAAATCATGCATTAAATAAAATTTAAATTGATATCTAAAAAAAATATTGAAATTTAGATATTTAGATAAAATTAGTCAGCTATTTATTTAGAAAATAAAGTTATCGCTTTTAATTAAATCTAAAAATTTAGATTTCCATCAGGATTTTCTCAAACACATTTAAATTAATTGTAATTATATTAATTATATTGCACAGACACTATTAGTGCTAGTATGTCCTAAAATTGTAGCTTGTTATTTTAAATTTCAATGAATTGATAATGTTTGACTCATCTCATCACAAAAGCAAAATTTCCTCCTCGAAATTTGCTTTTTTTCTGCTGAAAATTAAATTTTTTTTTCTCTGAAAATTTGATTCCCACTCCTTGAAAATTTTATTCCCACTCCTTGAAAATTTTATTTTCCTCCCTGAGTATTTGATATTTTCTTCCCTGAAAATTTGATCTTATCCTTCAAATTTTTTTTTCCTAAAAATTTGATTTTCTCCTGGAAATTTGATTTTTTTCCCTAAAAATTTGATTTTTATCCCCTGAAAATTTGATTTTTTTTCTTTCCTTGGAAATTTGATTTTTTTTCCTGGAAAATTCATTCTTCCTTCCCTAAATATTTAATATCTTCTCCCCTGAATATTTGATATTTTCTTCCCTGAAAATTTTATTCCCATTTCCTGAAAATTTTATTCCCACTCCTTGAAAATTTTATTCTCACTTCCTAAAAATTTAATTCCAACTCCTTGAAAATTTTATTCCCACTGCCTGAAAATTTTATTCCCCCCTGAAAATGTTACTTTTTTCCTAAAAATTTGATTTTATACTCTCGAAATTTAATTTTTCCGCCTGGAAATTTGATTCTTTCCTAGAAATTTGATTTTATCCCTTCAACATTTGTTTTTTCCCCTGCAAATTTGACTTTTCTCCCTGAAAATTTGATTTTTTCCCCTAAAAATTTAATTTTATCCTCCTGTAAATTTGATTTTATACCCTTAAAATTTATCCCCTGGAAATTGGATTTCCCCTCTCTGAAAATTTTAAATCGCCCCCTGCTAAAAGTATTATTTCCCTCCTCTGATATTTTATTTTTCTCCCTGAAATGTTGACTTCTTCCCTGAAAATTTTATTTCTCTCCCTGGAAATTTGATTTTTATCGCCTGAAAATTTTAATTTTTTCCTAAAAATTTGTATCCCCTAAAAAATTATATTCCCTGAAAATTTGATTTTTCCGCCTAAAAATTTGATTCTCCTATGAAAATGTTAATTCTCTCCCTAGAAATAGTTTTTTTTTCTGAAAATTTGATTTTTTCTTCCCTGAAAATTTTATTTCCCTCTCTAAATTTTGACTTTTTTTCCTAAGAATTTGATTCCTCTATGGTAATTTGAATTTTCCCCTTGAAATTTGATTTTTATCCCCTGAAAATCGGATTTTTTTCCCTAAAAATTTGATTTCCCCCTGATAATTTGATTTTTCCCCTGAAAATTATTTTCCCACTTCCTGAAAATTTGATTTTTTTCCCTGGAAACACGATTCCCTTCTAGAAATTTGATTTCCCACTCCCTGAAAATTTAATTTAAATTTGTATCCGCACGCACATATACACACGCACACGAAAATTTGTTTAGCCGACGTTTTGCAGAGGGTTGTTTTATACAACTACATAAACTGAAAGAAAAATAACACGTGGTGTTATTATATATAATTCGATTTAATTTTTAATGCTTGCTTTGCTTTGCTTTTAGTGCTATGACGAATTTTTAAAATTAAACGACTTGTCATAGGGCCATAATATTTTAGTATGATCTATAAGACTTTGATATCTACTGTCAAAAAAAATTCATAAAAATAAGCAAAAAAATTTTTTTCAACAGTAAATTACAAGAAAATGACTCGACCTTCGGACACACTACTTTTCATTATTATTATTATTATTATTATTATTATTATTATTATCATTATTATTATAATTATTGGTAACTATTCTACTTACAAGCTGTTCTCTCGAAACACAGTTTCTGACACACTGTACCGATACAGGTTATAAACCGGTCTGGCCCTCGGCAAAATCCGATGAACCTTCTTCCACATTGTTTCTTCGGGGGGTGCAGGTGTCATTTGGTTGACATAGAAAATTCTTGGCACCGTCAGACGAATCTGGTGCAACTCGTTGCCTATCAAGGCCCAAAGCCTAAAAAAATAAGAAGAAGGAAAATAATAGTATCAGATTTCCTAATTTTATGTAATAATTTATATCTCGACGTTTCGAGTCATTCTGGATCGTTTGAAACCAAAAATTGAAAGAAGTATATCTGTGTTTATATGCCAGGTGACTTTTTTGACAAACATTTCGTCGATGTTTTCACCAAAACGTCTAGACCGATTTTAAAAAATTATAAACCACTGTGGGAATCATAGAGACCATGAGTTTTTGATAGAAAACAAGTTATTTATGTCATGACATTTTTTGATAATTATGTATTTTAATACATTTTATAAAACATAGAAATATCTTTCTACTAACCTGTATACTCCTGGTTCAGAACTGCGTCCAATTTGTATAATCTGCCATGGCGAATCGAGTAAAGTTTTCTGCGCTTTTCTCAAAAATCCGCCGATCGTTGCGGAAGTTCTAGCAATTGTTGTACTTTGAAGGACAGAATTCGTTCTGTTGTCTGAGCGTTGGCGTTTCGAATTTCTTGCATCTGAGAAAAAAATCGAACTTTTATTTTATTAAAACCAAACTGATTGGAAAAAATGAATTTATGGTGGTGAGAGGATGAAAATTTAAGGATGTATATATAAATTATTATATATCTTTTTTATTGTCTCTATTAACACACCTCATCTCTAATTACTCGTTTATTGTCTCTAATGATACTCTCTACAATATTCATCTCTATATTTCACTATTTGTCCCTCACAGTATAAAATTTATTCACAAATATAAACATTAAAATTTTTATCTAGCCATAAGTCATGCTATTTACGTCAACAATCTATATTTTATTGAAGTAAAACTTCTTTACAAGGGGATAAACCACATAGTTAACTCCAGTATTCGGATTCTATTTAGAAAGACCTTTCAAATGATACCCCACATGAAATAAAAGATACAATCTAAATTTTTTGAAGTAAAACTTCTTTATGCTCGTATACTACAAATTCATTAAAAGTAGATAAACCACATAGTTAACTCCAGTATTCGGATTCTACTGAAAATTACCTTTCAAATGATACCCCACATGTAATAAAAGACACGATCTAAATTTTTTGAAGTAAAACTTCTTTATACACCTGAGCTAAAAATTCGTAATAACTGTATATTTTGTGGACAATATAATAATTTTTTCATGAAAATCGTTTTCTACTCGTCGAGACCTTTAAAATGATACCCAACAAGCGATAAAAGTCACAATCTAAATTTTTTGAAGTAAAACTTCTTTAGACACCTGAGCTAAAAATTCATAAAAACTGTATATTTTGTTGACAAACCATATAGTTAATTTAAGTATTCGGATTCTATTAAAAAAGACCTTTCAAATGATACCCCACATGCAATAAAAGATACAATCTAATATTTTTGCAGTAAAACTTCTTTAGGCACATAAGCTAAAATTTCAAAAAAAGTGTATATTTTGCGGTCAATTCGCATAGTTAATTTTTAGTATTCTATAGAAAAGTTCTACGCCTCACATATTTTAAAAAAATCAACACATTTTACAATTCTAATATTTTTTGCAATAATTTTTTTTTATGTACGATGTTTTTATTTTAATATGTTTTTGTGAAAATTGTTTTCTACTCGTCGAGACCTTCTAAACGCTACCTAACAAGCAATAAAACATACAATCTATATTTTTTGAAGTAAAACTTCTTTAGACACCTTAGCTATAAATTCGTAATAAGTGTATATTTTGTTGACAAACCATATAGTTAATTTAAGAATTCGGATTCTATTCAAAAAAAACTTTCAAACGATACCCAACATGCCATAAAACATAAAATCTAAAAATTTTAAAGTAAAACTTCTTTAGACACCTGAGTTAAAAATTCATAAAAAGTGTATATTTTGTGGACAGTATAATCATTTTTTCATGAAAATTGTTTTCTAATCGTCGAAACCTTTTAAGCGATCCCAACAAGCGATTATTCAAATACTCGTTAATACAAATTCATCAAAAGTGCATATTTTGGTGACAAACCATATAGTTAATTTGATTCTACTAAAAAAGACCTTCCAAACGATACCCAACATGCCATAAAAAACACAATTTAAATGTTTGAAGTAAAACTTCTTTAAGTTCGTATATATATGTATATGTATATATATCTATGACATTTATCCTACCTCCTCCTTGTCGTTGTTGCCACTGCCACTCCCACTTCTTCTTCTGGAATTTAATCCATTCGATATGCTCCTTTCTGGTCGTTCCAAAAGAAGGGGGAGGTCCTAGAGCATCTCTCCAAGTTTTGTGAACAATTGCAGAAGTCGTCGCTTGATTCTCATCTTCATCTGATCTTTGACGCTTTCTTGTCGTCGATAATGGTACACCTAAATAAAAATAATAGAAATAGAAACTAGTGGTGTATGGCATCGTGCCTTAAGACAAATTGCTGGAACTTCCCGTACTGTAATGAAATGATCGAGAAATTTTAAATGTTTTCAAATATATTATTACAACAAATACTGTAACTTTCATTATTTTTGCTATCTTGTTTATTATATCTGAGCAAATCAAATGTAAATTATAAATAAAACAATTTATTTCCAACAATTAACAATCGCCATTTCATTTCGAATTCAATTTCAAAAAAAAAAATAGTTGCCCAATTTGCACAAAATTGAAAAAGTGCTCCGGCATAGTCACAGTCTAAACGCATTTTCAAATAATTCTGTGCGACATTTTCACTTAGACTGTGCCTAGCTTGGCGGCTTTTTCTTATTTTTCAATAGTTTTCTCACAAAATTGGAAAAGTTGTATCATTACAGTACAAGGCGATAAAATTAAAATTTTAAGAGAAAAGGGACTCTACTGACGGTCAAATTAAAACTTTAATGCAAAAAGGGACTCTCTTGATAACCAAATTAAAATTTCAGTACAAAATGTGACTTTACTGACGATCAAATTTGAATTTAGATCTAGAAAATAAAAAAGAGACTCTACTGACGACCAAATTAAAATTCTAATACAAAAAGGACTCTGATGACAAGCAAATTTAAAATTTTAATACAAAAGGGGACTCTACTGACGAGCAAAATAACATTCCAATACAAAAAGAGACTCTACTGACCAGCAAATTAAAATTTTATTAGAAAAAGGACTCTACTGACGAACAATATATGTCACAGTATATACGCACTTGCAATTAATTCTGTGCGACATTTTCACTTATACTGTGCTCAGCTTGGCGGCATTTTCACACTTTTCAATAGTTTTCACAAAATTGAAAAAAGGATCCCGTATAGTCACATTCTAAACGCACTTGCGAAAAATTTTGTACCAAGTTGTCACTTAGACTATTTTTTTTAGAGTATTTTTTTCAAATTTTTTAACTCGAAATTACATTTTTATAATTTACATAAAATTGGAAAAGTGCTCTCATATAGTCACAGTCTAAACGCATTTTCAAAAAATTTTGTACGACATTTTCACTTATGCTCCTGTATAGTCACATTCTAAACGTACTTGCGAAAATTTTTGTACCAGGTTGTCACTTTGACTGTGCTTAGTCTGTCTATTTTTTTGTTTTAAATTCAATAATTGCATTTCTATAATTTACACAAAATTGAAAAAGTGCTCCCGTATAATCACAGTCTAAACGCATTTGCAAATAATTCTGTGCGACATTTTCACTTGTACTGTGCTTAGCTTTGCGACATTTTTCTATTTTTTAGTTTTTCTTCTCACAAAATTGGAAAAACGCTCCTATACAGAAACAGTCTAAACGCATTTGCAAGAATGTTTGCACCAGTTTGTCACTTAGACTGTGCTTGGCCTGGGTGATTTTTTGAAGTTTTTATCCAAAATTACAAAAATATTTTAAGAAAAATAAAAAAAGATGTAATAATTTTCCATTTATCCTCAAAAGCAATTGTTTTGTCAATACAAGCAGAAAATTTTTTAGATCATTCAAATCGGACGCTTAGTTCACTCAAAAACCGCCATTTTTTGCACATTTAGCTCTGTATCCTCGAAACCGCTGGACCTGCCTTTGCCAAAAACTAATAACCACTTCTCCCAATCATTACAAATTGAATGTTTTTTAGATCATTCAAATCGGACGCTTTTAGTTCTCTCAAAAACTTACTATTTACTATTATTACCTGGTCCATTGCTGGAACTTCCTCCAATATCCTCGATATCAGCAATATTGTCTGTGTTCTGTGTCTGAACCGGCTTCGGTTCGGCCCTGAACAGTTCGTTAATTCGCCTCTGTTTCAACACATCGTTTTTTTCTAACATTTTTTTGTGCAACCAGTCTGGATGTTGCACTCTTGGCACAGGATTTGATAAACCTTGCAAAGCTGCAGGGATTGTTATGATTTTTTGGATTGCACCTAGAGGGAAAAGATATATATATATATACATATAAAGCGAGAAGTTTTTCTTCAGATGGAGAAATAATATGATAAAATTGTTCTTGGGCATCCATCCAGTAATTAAAAACAGTTTTATTAAAAGAAAATGTTTTTATTCAGAGAACATACGTTTCGGGTCTTGATTTGACCCATCTTCAGTGCTACAATTGAATACTTCAGGGTTACAATTTAAAACGATATAAAAAATATACAAACATAATTACAGACGAAAATAAATAAAAACATGTAAAAAAGCATAAATCTAACCAATTTAATAAATTTGTTTTATAACTAATATATATTGTAAAAGTATATAAAAATGAAAAACAACATAGATATAAACAAATGTAAAGAACTCACCATACAAATAAATTGAAAAAACAACAAAAATAACACGAAAATTGCACGAAAAAATTATGAAACACAAATTGATAAACGTCGAGTTATGACAAATTTAAAATAATTGAAAATTAAAATAAAAATAATATATATATATATATATATATATATATATATAAATTATGTACCTCCCAATCTTTCAATGTAGTAATTCCAATCCAGGACTTGTCGGATATCGGCGTCGCCCATAGTGTTGTCTCTAAGCCACTTTCTTAAATAATGTCGACGGACAGTTAATTCAGATTGGAAAATAGCCAATGGGATAGCCCTGAAATTAAAATAATATACCTGTATATATATATATATATATATATATATACTAGCTAACCCGACAAACGTTGTTTTGTTAAGTAAGGTATATTCTAAACAATTTCTAGAGAAACAAAAAAGTTAGCTGGTTATACATATTTTCCCCTCTACTTTCAAATATTGTTGTTAAACAATGCTAAGCAATAGGTTTTTGACACATCGGTGGTGGACCCTTTCAACCCTAGACCTTCATATATTACTATCTACTGTTTGAGAAAAATATGATTTGCAAAAAAGAATGTTACAACGCCAAAAAATGTATTTTCATATTAACATTTCAAAAAAGTTGATATTTTGAGTTTCTAGTAATACTTGCGATCCGTTTAATACTATTACTCACTACAATTTAATCATAATTAAATAATATTCACGTAAAACATCCTATTAAACGAAATTGAACATCATCTGTTAAAAACATTTTATATTTGACGTATTAGCCACCGTCACTGTTCAAATTAAAAATGTAAAGTTTCTACGCGATTTTGAAATAATATCTCACCTTTCCGACAATCTACTGATCAGCACGAATTTTTCAAGACTAAGACTGGCCAAATCGGTTTAGCCGTTTTCGAGCTCCATTTTTATATATAAGAAGATATATATTTATATTATTACCTCTCAGTTACTGGAGCGCCTTCTGGTTTGCTAGAAATAATGAATTTACAAGCAAGTCCCGCATCTTTAACCATCTGATCTCCCAAAAATTCGGCCAGTCGTTTAGCTGAAATTTTTATTAGATATATTATTTAATTATATATAAATATATATATATATATATATATATATATGATTATAATAGTCATTAAAAAAATTACCTGTAGATATGGATGTAGATTTCTGTGCTCCGTAATCTTCTAATTTTCTGCTCATTGAACGATTTTCTGAGATCAACTCAAACAGTTCACTGTCAGGCATATTAGTACCCTGAAAAAAATATATAGTTAGTTGTGTATGGCATCGTGCCTTGAGGCAAATTGCTGGAACTTCCCGTACCGTAATTAAATATTCGAGGAATTTTAAATGTTTTCAAATAGATTATTATAAATATTGTAGCATTGTCTAATATTTATAAGAATTATATAAACTGAATTGCAGAGTTGAAAATATTTGTTTAAAGTATATTAGAACTATAGTCAGAATTAAAAATAAAATCTGAATTATTTTCGATATGCAAACATTAAAAAAAAAAAAAAATTAAGAAAAAAAATTTGATCAATTTTTCCCCCCAAAATCAATTATTTTGTTAAAACAAGCAGAAAGTTCTTTGAATCATTCAAATCGGACGCTTAGTTCACTCAAAAACTGCCATTTTTTGCACATTTAGTTCCGTATCTTCGAAATCGCGGGACCTGCCTTTGCCAAAAACTAATCACCACTTCTCTCCATCAATAGAAATCGAATGTTTTTTGAATCATTCAAATTAGATACTCCGTTCTCTCAAAAACTCGATTTCTATTTTCTGCACTCTTTGCTCCGTATCTCCGAAACGGCTGGGCCTGCCTTTGTCAAAAACTAATCAGCACATCTCCCTATCCATAAGAATCGAATACTATTTGAATCATTCAAATCGGTTGATCCGTGTTCCCATTAAAAATGTTTTATTCAAATTAATAATTTCGAGTTTTTATTTAAATTCTGAAAAAATCGAAAAATTGAAACGACCAAGTTGGTGAATTTTTTGCAAAATTTTGAAACACAAGCAATCTTCATATTTTGAATCATTCTAATCGGATAATCCGTTTTCTCAAAAACTGCTATTCATAATATGCGAAATGACTGGGCGTGTCTTTGAAAATCTAAAAACAAATTTTAGATAAATCTAAAAAGAAATTTTTGTCCAGGAAGATATAAAAAAAATTAAAATGAAGAAAGAACTCTACTGACTCGCCTGAGCAAACTGAGCTAAAACAGTAATTTTTGTCTAAACAGACTTAAAAAAAAAATAAAAAAGGAAAAACAACGCTACTGATAAATTAATCGGAAAACGAGGTTTCTGTCTAGAAAAATAATCGAAAAAGAACTCTATTGACAAGCAAACTAAAGCTCGAAGTACATCTCTGTGCAGAAAAAAACGTTAAAAAAGGACTCTACTGACGAGCAAATTAGACGTCATTGAACAGATAATAAAAAATTAAAGTCAAGATTGAATTTGAAAAGAAAAAAGTCTACTGAAAAAACAATCAGTACGTCAATACGAATCGAGACAATTTTTGAGTCACTCAAATCGGTTGATCCGTGTTCCCGAAATAGACGCACTTATACACAAACATGCATTTTTTTACGTATGCCAAAATTTTCAGAAACTTTTGAAACGTAAAGATATGCAAAAAAATATTTTAGATTTTTGAACTATTATTATATTATTAATTAGTATTACTAACCTTGCTATATAAAACGTCCAGCCAGTAATCAGCAACCTTAGCTACACTCGCGTAACATTCTTCGATGGTAGTCCCTTGCAAAAAGGCCTCGAACACTGAAGACTGGAAAATTTTTATCAATTGGAGTTCGCCACGACGTTTAATCTCGAATCTAAAAAACAAAATTGAAAATCCGAAATTAATGGGGCAATTCTGCCGTAACTGAGCTCATAACATAGCGTTGTCATGGCAACAAAAATGTCTATCTATTTGGCGTACGACCAGGCGTATTTTACATACAAACAAGCAAGAAAGAATCTTATAATAATTGCACTATCTAGATTTATTTATTATATTATACCAATAATTGTATTAACTTAAATAGTAAATATTGAATTTGAATAAAGTATCTATCTATCTATCTATTCTCGGCAAATAGATAAAAAAATGTATCCATTCCTCCTACCCTTTCAACTCAGCAAGTGACCCATCGAAATTAAAGACAGCATAACGTTTTTTCAATTTTTTCCCTTCTTCCTTGGAAGCAGGCAAAACCATTGCTAAATAAGGGCCGTCGACTTCGAAGAAAATCGAATTTTCACTTCTGGTCGTGTACACGGGCTTGGAATCGGGTCCGTCTGCTCCGGCGGGCCTGACGAGCTCGTGGTATTGGTCGTTTGTAAAATGATCCTGGGGAGAAAAGACAGAGGACTTAAGTAAACTTATCAAAATTGAGATTTATATAGAATATTTTGTTATAACTGTTATAACTTTTTGTTTTCGATACGATTTCCAATCGATGTGAACGAGCTTAAAAAAGTTTTACTTCAAAAAAAGTATGTATTGTATTTTTCTGGCATGTGGGGTATCGTTTGAAAAGTTTTTTGGTATAGATTCCGAATAGTGAAATTAACTATGTGGTTTATCCACAAAATATACACTTGTAATGAATTTATAGCTCAGGCGTCTAAAGAAGTTTTACTTCAAAAAGACTAAAACGTTTTTTTTTCATGGCTTGTTGGGTATCGTTCAAGAAAATGATTATATTATAAATTATAAAAACATTAAATATGAAAATACATATGAGAATGTTGAAATTTATTGATTTTTTTAAAAATATATAGGATTTAAAAACAAGAAGCCTCGCACAAATACGACCAATCAGAGTCGACCCGTATAGAAATTCTTCACGTTGGCGTAACAATTTCCGTTGCATTTGCACGGATTTACACTCATGTCGCGCCTAAAGAAGTTTTACTTCAATAATATGAAACCCTTTATAGCAAATACTAAAATTCACTATGTGCACTGTTCACAAAATAAACACTTATAATGAATTTGTAGCAGAGAAGTCGCATAGTTAATTTTAGTATTCGATAAAAAAAAGTTCTGCACCTAACATATTTTAAAAAAAAAGTTTGACATTTTAATTATAATGCCATATTTGTTTTTGTTACAATTTTTATTCGTGATATTCGTATTCTACTCGTCGAGACCTTTTAAACGATACCCCATATGCCATAAAACATACAATCTGAAAAATTTTGAAGTAAAACTTCTTTAGACTCCTCTGCTATAAATTCATTTAAAGTGTATATTTTGTGAACAAACCACATAGTTAATTTCACTATTCGAAATCTATACAAAACGACCTTTCAAATGATACCCCACATGCCATAACAAACACAATCTAAATTTTTTGAAGTAAAACTTCTTTAGACTCCTCTGCTAAAAATTCGTAGAAGTGTAGTATATTTTGTAGACAAATCATATCATTAATTTAAAAATTCGTGATAAATGTTTTAGACCTCATACATCAAGAAAAAAACGAACTAAAATTTTTGAAATCACAAAGATAATTTTAGTATTCGGATTCTATTAAAAAGGGCCTTTCAAATTCAAATTTTGAGACTTTCTAAGAACATTTTGAGACTCTAAGAACATTTTCAGATTTTTTAAGAACATTTTCAGATTTTCTAAGAACATTTTGATACTTTCTATGAACATTTAGAAACTTTCTAAGAACATTTTAAGGCTTTCTAAGAACATTTTGATACTTTCTAAGAATATATTTAGACTTTCTAAGAAAACTATTGAGACGTCGACGTTCTCTCAAAAACGGCTGAACCAATTACAAAATAATAGACTGATCAATACTAATTTAACTATCTTGTATTCAGAAATTTGGAAACTTCAGTTCTTATTTCAGTATTCGGATTCTATTAAAAACGACCTTTCAAATGATACCCCACATGCCATATAGCATGCAACCTAAAATTTTTGAAGTAAAACTTCTTTAGACACCTGAGCAGTTTTTGAGAAAAACATCGGAATTTTTACCTTCACCATCATATTGAGTACAGCATTAGGAAACGAAACAGTAAACTTCTTTTTCTTCTCGTGCGTAGTGATGACTTCGTAATTCTGGGGAAAAGTCGCCGGTAAAACACACCAGATACCATCGGTATCCAATTCCAAAGGCCTACCGACCCTTTCGATGATCTCTCGAGCCTTTCTGATAATGTTGGAACCTGTGAGACACACTATGCCACCCATTTGCATTGAATGCCACCGAGCCCTAAGGGAAAAAATAAAAAACAAATAATAAGGGATTGATTTTGCCGCATAATAGACAAATGTTATGGCAAGGCCATGTTACATACATTATGCTACTTAATCATACTGAATACTGTCAAAATGTCATGTATTCGCTGTGCATTCAGGCGTTTTACACGTAAACTGCAACGTTACGCGTATGTTATGCGCTGGGTCAGAAAGACCCTGTTATCTATGAAAAAGGTTAGAAAGAGAGAGAAAGTGTTACTAATTAAAGAACAACTTTTAGTATAGATAAAAAGAGAAAGCTAGAGAAAGGCGATTGATAGAGAGAGAGATAGTGAGATTTGTAAAGTAAGAAAATGATTGAGAAATGCATATGAGTAGAGAGAGAAAGTGGTAAAAAAGGGACTCTACTGACGAGCAAAAGTTAAAATAGACCAAAAGGAACTCTGCTGACGAACGAACTTAATTTAGTATTAAAAAAGGGACTCTACTGACGAGCAAACTAATTTGGAATCAAAAAAGGAACTCTACTGACGAGCAAACTTAATCTAGAATTAGAAAAGGGACTCTACTGACGAGCATAATTAATCTACAGTTAAAAAAGGGACTCTACTGATGAGCAAATTAATCTAGAATTAAAAAAGGGACCCTACTGACGAGCAAACTAATCTAGAATTAAAAACGGGACTCTACTGACGAGCAAACTTAATCTAGAAATAAAGAAGGGACTCTACTGATGAGCAAACTAATTTAGAATTAAAAAAGGGACTCTACTGACGAGCAAATTAATCTAGAATTAAAAAAGGGACCCTACTGACGAGCAAACTAATCTAGAATTAAAAACGGGACTCTACTGACGAGCAAACTAATCTAGAATTAAAAAAGGGACTCTACTGACAAGCAAACTTAATCTAGAATTAAAAAGGGACTCTACTGACGAGCAAACTAATCTGGAATTAAAAAAAGGCTGGGTCAAAAATACTCTGTTATTTAAGATCGTTTTTTTGACTGCATAGCAACCGCATGCCTTTTTTGTCAATATTCAGTATAAAAAGTTCTTCATAGCATAGCCTTGCCATAACTTTTGTGTAATTTCTTTGCGACTCACCCTCTCCTCATGACGTATCCATAAAAACTGTTCAAAATACATTTGTGGGCCAATTGCAAAGAATCGTAAAGGATTTCTCGGCCCTTGGCCGCTTTTATTTCAATTGCATCACCACTTGCAATAGCCTTCGATACTTCGGCCTTGGATTTCTTTGTAAGGCCTTTGTATTCGTAACGACGATCCCTGAAAAAAGTATCTTTATTATATTTGAAATTTGAATTTCAAATCTCAACGGTCGTTGCAAACGCGCGAACTTCACACTCGAAGTATTTTGTTCATCATGTACGTGCAGTAAATTTGTTTCAACTCGGTTTGTTATCCAATTTTAAAATTTAATATTTTTTTTACATATAATTTTGTATTAAGAATTTTAGATTGTTATATACAGATTTGTAGATATTTTTATAAGCTTTTTAACGATATATAATAGTATATACATGTTTAAACAAATTGTTAAAGAAATTTGTCGGAATATGTAGACATATTGGTTTAGCAAAATGGCGTAGACATATTGGTTTACCAAAATGGCGTCATACGATTCAGGATTAAACAAATTTTTTTATAATAATTTTGTTCGAAACGATTTAAATTGTTATATACAGATTTGTAGATATTTTCATAAGCTTTTTAACGATATATAATAGTATATACATGTTTGAACAAATTGTTAGAGAAATTTGTCGGAATATGTGACAAGACATATTGGTTTACCAAAATGGCGTCGTACGATTCAGGATTAAACACATTTTTTTATTATAATTTAGTTCAAAACGATTTAAATTGTTATATACAGATTTGTAAGTAATTTTATTAGCTTTTTAACGATATATAATAGTATATACATGTTAAAACAAATTGTTAGAGAAATTTGTCGGAATATGTAAAAATGTAACCGGTAGACATATTGGTTTAGCAAAATGGCGTCGTACGACTCAGTATGCAATTCTAAGGATTAAACAATTTTTTTATAATAATTTTGTACGTAACGATTTAAATTGTTATATAAAGATTTGTAGATATTTGTATTAGCTTTTTAGCGATATATAATAGTATATACATGTCTAAACAAATTGTTAAAAAAAATTGTCGAAATATGTGAAAATGTAACCTTTAGGTTTAGCAAAATGGCGTCGTACGACTCAGTATGCAATTCTAAGGATTAAACAATTTTTTTTATAATAATTTTGTTCGAAACGATTTAAACTGTTATATACAGATTTGTAAGTAATTTTATTAGCTTTTTAACGATATATAATAGTATATACATGTTTAAACAAATTGTTAAAGAAATTTGTCGAAATATGTGAACCTGTAGACATATTGGTTTAACAAAATGGCGTCATACGATTCAGGATTAAACTCATTTTTTTAATAATAATTTTGTTCGAAACGATTTAAATTGTTATATACAGATTTGTAAGTAATTTTATAAGCTTTTTAACGATATATCAAAGTATATACATGTTTGAACAAATTGTTGACGAAATTTGACGGAATATGTGAAAACGTAACCTGTAGACATATTGGTTTACCAAAATGGCGTCATACGATTCAGGATTAAACAATTTTTTTTATAATAATTTTGTTCGAAACGATTTAAATTGTTATATACAGATTTGTAGATATTTTTATTAGCTTTTTAATTATATATAATAGTATATACATGTTTGAACAAATTGTTAGAGAAATTTGTCGGAATATGTGACAAGACATATTGGTTTACCAAAATGGCGCCACACGATTCAGGATTAAACAATTTTTTTTATAATAATTTTGTTCGAAACGATTTAAATTGTTATATACAGATTTGTAAGTAATTTTATAAGCTTTTTAACGATATATAATAATATATACATGTTTGAACAAATTGTTAGAGAAATTTGTCGGAATATGTAACAAGACATATTGGTTTACCAAAATGGCGTCATACGATTCAGGATTAAACAAATTTTTTTATAATAATTTTGTTCGAAACTATTTAAATTGTTATATACAGATTTGTAAGTAATTTTATTAGCTTTTTAACGATATATAATAGTATATACATGTTGGAACAAATAGTTAGAGAAATTTGTCGGAATATGTGACAAGACATATTGGTTTACCAAAATGGCGTCGTACGATTCAGGATTCAACAATTTTTCTTATAATAATTTTGTTCGAAACGATTTAAATTGTTATATACAGATTTGTAGATATTTTTATAAGCTTTTTAATGATACATAATAAGATATACGTTTTTGAGCATTTTTTGGCAAAAACATAAAATTCTCCTTACCTAAAAGCTCTAACAGTATCGACATAAAACGAGTTCTCCTTCTGGCAAACAGTAGAAGTCCTCGTTTCAGTCCTAGTGACTTTAGTCTTCTTATAAGCCTTCCTACAATAATCCGACAACCTCTTCTTCTCATAAGCAGCTTGATCATCCCTTGAAAGCTGATGGAAAGCCCTCATCGGCCCACCAGGAAACAGGGGAGGAAATCTTTCCGTCTCTAATTGCTGCTGAATTCGCTGAAACTCTCCTCGACTTGCCGGCACTGAAAACAAACTAAATGAGACACAAACCGAATTAAAAAATAAGGAGAAAAGTCTGTTGTTCTTACAAAACTCTCCTCTCCACAACCATTCCATGTTTCTTTTACAAGGAGCGTTGTATTTATTAAAATCGCAAGCTGCACATGTCTCTTCGTCGACCATTGCACTCGGTTGCAGTCGGTTTGTTAGAATGATATTAGGGTACATAGCTCCTACGTCCAAATGGTAAATCACAGGCTGTTCGAATCTATTAGGGGCATCTCGGAGTGATGTTAGGGTTGATTTTATTTCTAAACTTACCTGAGTAGAAAACAATTAAATTAGATTAGTACATACCCATAACGGCTCGACTTACCGGGCAATTCTGCCTCATAAAATAGCGTTGTCATGGCTACGCTATCTTATGCTTGTTCATTGATCGATTTTTTTTTCAAAAATTAAGATTTTTTTTTGAATATGAAAAAAATGTATTTTTTATTACTTACATCTTCAAGATTGGTGACTTTGTCGAGCGGTACACCTTCTTCGACTACAATCGCATGTTCCAAAGTTCTTTCAACACTTGATAACAATTCATCAAAGGCTGTTGGATCCAAACGGAACCTGCAAGGTAGATCTGCCCTAAAGACTCCTACAGAAAAAATTAACACTTAATTAATTACATTAAAACAACTACAAAAAAAGAGTAGACAAACACCCGAATTACTTGGCACACAAAGTATTCTCAAAAGCGCGCCGAACAAGACTAAAACGAAAAATTCCCAATGATTTCATAAATTTGTAAACGCTAACATTATTATTATTATTATTATTATTATTAGTATTATTATTATCTTACTATTTCTATTATTATTATTTTGTCATATTTTATTATTTTTCTAGTATTATTTTATTATTCAGAAATTTTATTTATATTATTTACTAATTTTATTTTTATTATTATTTGCTTATATTTTATATCAAATCATATTACGGATATTATTTTCATGTAAATTTTATCCTTTGCACTTTTATTTATTCAAATTTATGTTATTATTTATCAATATTACTTGATGTTAATAATTTAGCAGTTGTAATAATTATTGAAATTAAAAAAAAATTAATTAAATTATTAATTGAAAAAATTGTAATTGATAATGGAGATACATTGGAAGTGATAAACGTTGTGTAGTGTTAAATTTAAAGTAAAGTCCGAGTTTGAAGTAGTTTTGTGTAAAATTTTTGTATAGGAGTGTGTAAGATAGTTGACATGGAAATGTTGTAAATTTTATCTAGTTTTTGCTAAACCGACTTAAAAAGAGTGTCCCGATAGAAGTTTTTGAATTTATTTTAAAAAAACGTTGAAAAATGTCTTGAATCTACATATATAGTGCTAGTTTAAGGCATAAGGCTGTGTTCAAACTAGTTTTATATAAAAATTTTGTATAGGATGGTCTAAAACAGTTTACATGAAGATGTAGTAAATTCCACCTAGTTTTTACTAAGCTAACTTAAAATTAATGTCCTGATAGAAGTTTTTTGAGTTATTTAAAGAAACGTAGAAAATGAATTCTGCATCCATATGCAGAAAAAAAATGCATTAGGTTTGAATTAGTCAAGTCTTAGCAACACTGTGTTAATGTGTGATAAATTAACATAGTATGAAAATTATATATATATATATATATATATATATATATATATAATCGTAAAATGTCTATAAATGTTGCAAATTGTCCGAAAATGTGGCAACAAATCGTCTAAGAATGTTGCCAAACACATGCAAATGTTGCAACTCGTCTAAAAGCGTTGCAACTTGTCTAAAAGCGTTGCAAGTCGTCTGAAAATGTTGCAAATCGCATTGCAAATGGAAGCATCTGAAAATTGCTTGAAAGCATCTAAAAATTGCCTGAAAATGTTGCAAATTGTCTGAAAATATTCTAAGGAGTATAAAATGTTGCAAATTGCCTTAAAATGTGGTAAGTCGTCTATAAATGTTGCAAATCATCTGAAAATGTAGGAAATCGTTCTAAAAATTTTGCAACTCGCCTGAAAACGTTGCAACTCGTCTGAAAATGTTGCAACTCGTCTATAAATGTTGCGAACGCCTATAAACGTTGCAAATCGTTCGAAAATGCTGAACTAATACTGAAAGTTGCATATCATCTGAAAATGATGGAAATCCTCTAAAAATGTTGCAAATCTTCTATCAACGTTGCAACACGCCTATAAATATTGCAACTTGCCTATAAATGTTGCAAATCGTCTGAAAAAGTTCTAAATAGTCTGAAAGCATCTGAAAATTGCCTGAAAATGTTGCAAATTATCTGAAAATATTCTGAAGAGTCTAAAAACGTATGAAAACGTTGCAACTCGTCTGAAAATGTTGCAAATCGTCTATAAATGTTGCAAACGCCAATAAACGCTGCAAATCATTCGAAAATGCTGAAAGACGTCTACAAATAAAAAAAAAGTTGGATATCATCTGAAAATGTTGGAAATCCTCTAAAAATGTTGCAAATCTTCTATCAACGTTGCAACTCGCCTATAAATATTGCAATTAGCCTATAAATGTTGCAAATCGTCTGAACATATTCTAAAGAGTCTAAAAACGTATGAAAATGTTGCAAATCGTCTTAAAATGTCATATATATATATATATATATATATATATATTTACCTGACTCCAAGGCTTCCACGTGACCACCAACATAAGTCTCCGTATCCAAAACATGACCATCACTTGTAAATGGATTAAGTTCCGATTGTTGTTTATTTGGAAAAATAATATTTGCATGAAAAGCTTGAACCATCAATAAAGTTTCACATAAAGTACCCGAACCTTTTCTTAAAACCTACAAAATAAATAAAACGTACTTGTATAATAAACTCAAAAAGATAAAATTAACTTGTGGGGCGTGTATTTCGAATTCAATTCCAAAAAAAAAATAGTTACCTAATTTACACAAAATAAGAATATAAAAAAGGGACTCTACTGACGAGCAAATTATTATTTAACCTAGGATATAAAAAAGGGACTCTACTGACGAGCAAATTATTATTTAACCTAGAATATAAAAAAGGGACTCTACTGACGAGCAAATCATTAAATAATCTAGAAGAAAATAAAAAGGGACTCTACTGACGAGCAAATTAAGAAAAAAAATCAGCAAAATAAAAAGAGGACTATACTGATTAACAATTTTATTAGCGATATAAAAAAATAAGACTCTACTGACGAGCAAATTAAAAAAAGATCTAAAAAATAAATAAATAATTATAATTTTCAATATTAATATCAAAATTGAAAAAGTGCTCCCGTATAGTCACAGTCTAAACGCGTTTGCAAATAATTCTGTGCGACATTTTCACTTGTACTGCGCTTAGCTTGGCGGCCTTTTCACATTTTTCAATATTTTTTACAAAATTTATGAAAACGCTCCAGTATAGTCACATTCTAAACGCACCCGGGTAAACATTTATTCCAAAGTGGCGCTTAGACTGTGCTTAGCCTAGGTAATTTTTTGAATTTTTGTATTTAGTATTTTTCATCATCAACTGTATTTTACCAGACATGAAAATAAAAAGAACTCTACTGACGAGCAAACTATATTTTGCATTATATGAACTGCCGAGGAAACTGAAATACTCGTCTGCTCGTCAGTAGAGTCCTTTTATTAATTCTATATTAGTTTGCTCGTCGGTAGAGTCCCTTTTTTAATTCTACATTAGTTTGCTCCTCAGTAGAGTCCCTTTTTTAATACTAGATTAAGTTTGCTCGTCAGTAGAGTCCCTTTTTAATTCTAGATTAAGTTTGCTCGTCAGTAGAGTCCCTTTTTAATTCTAGATTAAGTTTGCTCGTCAGTAGAGTCCCTTTTTAATTCTAGATTAAGTTTGCTCGTCAGTAGAGTCCCTTTTTTAATTCTAGATTAGTTTGCTCGTCAGTAGAGTCCCTTTTTTGATTCTAGATCAGTTTGCTCGTCAGAAGAGTCCCTATTATTAATTCTAGATCAGTTTGCTCGTCAGTAGAGTCCCTTTTCTAATTCTAGATTATATTTTGCTCGTCAGTAGAGTCTCTTTTTTCAATACTAAAAATGCGGACATACGAAACACACACACACACACATACACACATTCATTAGTTTTCTGAGGTACGCCTCTTAAAAATGTTCAGAAACCTTCAAAACGTCGAGAAATGCAATGGCAGTATGTTTTTAATAGCTCTTTTCATACTTATATAAACTAATTGAAATAAATAAATAAATAAATATATATATATATATATATATATATATATATATAAAAGCGAGAGGTTTTTCTTCAGATGGTGAAATAATATGATAAAAATTGTTTCTTGGGCATCCATCCAATAATTAAAAAAACAGTTACAAATAATTACAAAAAAATTTTTTTAAAAAATTTATTTGTATGGTGAGTTTCTTTACATATGTTTATTTTATGTTGTTTTTCATATATACTTTTCATATACATTGTATCTACTTATTTTTGTCTGTAATTATGTATCTTTTATATTATTTTTTTATATTGTTTTAATTTGTAACCCTGATATATTTATTTGTGGCACTGAAGATGGGTCAAATCTGGACCCGAAACGTATGTTCTCTTAATTAAAACATTTTGCATTAAAACTGTTTTTTTAATTATTGGATGGATGCCCAAGAAACAATTTTTATCATATATATATATATATATATATATATATATATATATATATATATATATATGCAAACAATATTATATTATGATAGTACAATTATATTCTCAGAATAGGTGTATACAATTTGTATCTTTATGTAAAAATCAATGTATGTATTTAAGTCAAATAAAGCAAATTTTCAAATTTCAAAAAAAATTTTTTTTCGAGAAATGCATAAATTTTCATTTTCGATTTTCGGCCCATTACAATAACTACCCTATGACAAGTTAAAAAACAAGTTTTATTTTACATTATATTTCCCTTACCTCGTCCGGTTCCATAGGAATGATAGTACACAAGGCAAATATAAAAGGGTGCACGTATTTCATATACAAATAATAAGTAGCGACGGCATCTGACACCGAATAATTCGACAAAACTTGAGGGTCCTCGATTGCCATTTTGCACATTCTTCAGGGTCCAATTCGACAGGGTTGTAGTTTAGTTTCGCCTTGGCCACTGCTTTTAAACCCTGAGAACCGACCGGCAGGTAGGAATCTCTTTTCACCCAACTGGAATAATAGAAACAGAATTATAATATATATTTAATATATCTATTTATTAACTTCCCGTAGGGTAAGTTATTGTAATGGGCCGAAAATCGGAATTGAAAATTTTTACATTTCTCGACGTTTTGAAGGTTTCTGAACATTTTACTGGCATACCTCAGAAATTAAATGGATGTGTGTGTGTGTGTGTGTGTGTGTGTGTGTGTGAGTGTGTATGTATGTATGGATACAAATTTTCGCTCACGTTTTCGGGCGTACGGATCAACCGATTTGAATGGTTCAAAAAACATTCGATTCCTATTGATAGGGAAAAGAGCTGATTAGTTTTTGGCAAAGGCAGATCCAGCCGTTTCGGAGATACGGAGCAAAGAGTGCAGAAAATAGAAATCGAATTTTTGAGAGAACGGAGTATCCGATTTGAATGATCTAAAAAACATTCAATTAGTAATGATTGGGAGAAGTGTTTATTAGTTTTTGGCAAAGGCAGGCCCAGCCATTTTGAAGATACGGAGCTAAATATGTAAAAAATGGCAGTTTTTGAGAGAACTAAGCGTCCGATTTAAATGATTCAAAGAACTTTCTGCTTGTCTTAACAAAATAATCAATTTTGGAAAAAAAAATTTGTCCCATTTTTTTTTTTTTTTAGTTTTTTTATATATTTTTTTTTAATTCTTGTTCTAATATACTTTAAATAATTTCTCTTACTCTGCAATTCAGCTTATATAATATTTATAAATATTAGACAATGTTACAATATTTATAATAATCTATTTGAAAACATTCAGTAATCCTCGAACATTTCGTTACGGTACGGGAAGTTCCAGCAATTTGCCTTAAGGCACGATGCCACCCACCCCACTAGTTTATACATGTTTTAAAAATACATAGTAAAATTTTTGAAGAAAAAAATTAAATATTGTTTAAGTTATCGTCGATCTCCAACGGCCTTCTACGCGGATGAAATTAAAAAAAAAAATAGCTGTAAGTGGAATTCTGTCTTAAGGCAATTAAGGCATCGAGCCTTAAGGCAAATTGCTGGAACTTCCCGTACCAAAAATTATTATTTTTTTAAAAACGATTAACATTTTTGAAAAAAATTTACTTTGAAAAAATAAGATTTTTGAGAAACTATAAATTGGACAAAAAATTACTTTTTTTGAAATAACATATTTTTTTTTGAAAACAAAATTTTTTTGAAAAGAAAAATGTTTTCTTTATTTTGACATATTTTGGAAATTCTGAACTTTTTTTCAAAGCAATCGTACTGCTTTATCTGCATAGAGACGAAATATCGAAGCGCGTAAGCGCCGCGTCGCTGTCTGACGGATAAACATTGGTACGGAACCCATAGGAATGTAAACAAAATTTATACTTATTGTTAAAATCTCTAAAAAATATTTGATACTTTGATGTGCATATGTCTAATGGTAATTTTAACCGCCAAATGGCATTTTTTTTTACTTTTTTCATTAGATCTCCGAAACCGCTAGATCTGCCTTCATGAAAATTTGAACAGTTCTTTATTTAGTCAATACAAATAAAATGTTTTTTGAATTATTCAAATCGGACGCTCCGTTCTCTTAAAAACTGAGATTTCGTTTTCGGCACTTCTTGCCCCGTATCATCGGAACGGCTAGACCTGCCTTCGCCAAAAACTAATCAGCACGTCTCCTTATCAATACGAATCGAATGTTTTTTTGAATTATTCAATTCGGTTGATCCGTGTTCCCGAAATCGTCGACGAAAATTTATATCCGCATATACATACACACACGTACATACACACACACACATACATCCATTTTTTCTAAGGTATGCCAAAATGTTCAGAAACCTTTGAAACGTAAAGATATATAAAAAATTTTCATTTTGGATTTTTTTGCAATTACTATAACTTGCCCTACGGGAAGTTAAAAATTCGTTAAACTAGATAATATTGTCTGTAAAATCAATTACGATAAAGAAAAAAAATCAAAATTTGACAAAATGACAGCGTTTTTTAAAAAAAAGTCAAATTTTACCCAAAATTTTGGTCGTTTTTGGACTGCCAAAATTCGATTTTTGATCCGGTCAAAAAATCAGTAGTTCATTTTACGGAGAACTATATATAGAACATGTAAAAAAAACTGATAGTGATCGGATAATTTGTTTTTGAGTAATCGCTGCAGCAAATTCGGAAAATGCTGGTTCGAGAAAAACGCGATTAAAGATAAAATGATCGTTATACTATATACTATATATATACTCTTTAAATGGCTGTAACTCAAAAACTATTTAAGATACCGATTTAAAATATTGGTATGTTATTTTTAAAGGTATAACCTATCAAAATATGAAAAAATTGAAAATTCGATTTTTTGAAAATTTCACACTAGTTGTGCCCCTTAATAAATCTATTATTTGTTTTATATATCTATTTATTAAATTTACTTACCACAGGCAATCCATGTGCATCCCAGGTCGACACAAATAAACTCCTTCCTTGTTTTTCGAAAACCCAATCTCCTTCTTCATATCCATATCGTGTATTGCAGCCCGAGTTTCAACGAATGCCCAATCGAAGAAGTCGCCGTTGTATGTGACAAATATGTGGGGCTTGACATCGAGGATGTGGTCGAAGAATTTTTGCAAAAAGTTCTTTTTCGTTTCGTTCGTTGAAGATTACAAAGTTTCCCTCGAATTCTGGTTTTGGGGTGTACTCGAAATCGTCGACGTCGCTTGATATTATTTCGCGGTTTGTTATTAGATATCCTGAAAAATAATAGGAATATATATATGTATATATATATATATATATATATATATATATATATATATATATATATATATGTATTATTATAGTTTAATGAAACAACCTTCAGCAAAACGTCTTTTGAATAAATTTACTTAGAAATGAAAGATAGTCTGGTTAAGGTAGTATTTTATGAAAAAATAGCCTAAAAAATGTTCAAGATAGCTTAAAAATATTCTAGGTAGACAAAACAAATCGTCTGAAAATGTTGCAAAACCGTCTAAAAATGTGGCAAATCGTCCGAAAATGCTGAAAAACGTCTATAAATGTGGTAAACTGTCTAAAAGTGTTACAAACTGTCTATAAATGTTGCAAAACGTCTATAAATCGCCTCTAAATGCTCGCCTATCATTTACAAATATTACAAACTGACTGAGAGTTTTTCTAAAGAGCCTTAAAATGTTCTAAAGAGCCTAAAAATGTTGCAAATCATCTAAAAATGTTGGAAATAATTTGTAAATATTGCAAATCATCTGAAAACGTTGCAACTCGTCTATAAATATTGCAAATCATTTACCAATATTACAAATTAACTGAATATGTTCTATAGAGCATGAAAATATTCCGAAGAGCTTGAAAATGCTGAAAAACGTCTATAAATGTTGCAAATAGTCTGAAAATGTTGTAACTCGTCTAAAAATTTTGCGAATCGTCTGAAAATGTTAGAAATAGTCTAGAAACGTTGCAAATCTAAAGTCTAAAAAAGTCGGTTATGATTTAGAAATATTGCGAATCGTCTGAAAATGTTGCAAATTTTCTATAAATGTTGAAAAGCGTCTGAAAGTGTTGCAAATTATCTAAAAATGTTGTAAATCATCTGAAAACGTTGCAACTCTTCTGAAAACGTTGCAACTCGTCTATAAATCGGCCCTAAACGTTGCAAATCATTTACAATTATTACAAATCATCTGAAAACGTTGCAACTTGTCTATCAATGTTGCAAAACGTCTATAAATCACCTCTAAATGTTGCAAATTATTCACAATAACTAAAACTAACTGCAAATAAATGTTGAAAAGCGTCTGAAAGTGTTTCAAATCATCTAAAAATGTTGAAAACCATCTGAAAACGTTGCAACTCTCCTGAAAACGTTCCAACTTTTCTATCAATGTTGCAAAACGTCTATAAATCGCCTCTAAATGTTGCAAATCATCTAGAAATGTTAGAAATAGTTTATAAATATTGCAAATCGTCTCAAAATGTTGCAAATCTTTTAACAATGTTAAAAAGCATCTGAAAATGTTTTAAATCATCTAAAAATGTTGAAAACCGTCTGAAAATACTGAAAAACGTCTGAAAATGTTGCAAATCGTCTGAAAACGTTGAAAGCCGTTTAAAAAACTTTGCAAGCCGTTTAAAAACGTTGCAAGTCGTTTAAAAAACTTTGCAAGTCGTTTAAAAACGTTGAAAGCCGTTTAAAAACGTTGCAAGTCGTTTAAAAACGTTGCAAGTCGTTTAAAAACGTTGCAAGTCGTTTAAAAACGTTGCAAGTCGTTTAAAAACGTTGCGAGTCGTTCAAAAACGTTGCCGGTCGTTTAAAAACGTTGAAAGTCGTTTAAAAATGTTGCCGGTCGTTTAAAAACGTTGCTAGTCGTTTAAAAACGTTGCAAGTCGTTTAAAAACGTTGAAAGTCGTTTAAAAACGTTGCAAGTCGTTTAAAAACGTTGCAAGTCGTTTAAAAACGTTGCAAATCGTTTAAAAACGTTGCAAGTCGTTTAAAAACGTTGAAAGTCGTTTAAAAACGTTGCAAGTCGTTTAAAAACGTTGCAAGTCGTTTAAAAACTTTGCAAATCGTTTAAAAACGTTGCAAGTCGTTTAAAAACGTTGCAAGTCGTTTAAAAACGTTAACAGTCGTTTAAAAATGTTGCAAGTCGTTTAAAACGTTGCAAGTCGTTTAAAAACGTTGCAAGTCGTTGAAAAACGTTGCAAATCGTTTAAAAACGTTGCAAATCGTTTAAAAACGTTGCAAGTCGTTTAAAAACGTTAACAGTCGTTTAAAAATGTTGCAAGTCGTTTAAAAACGTTGCAAGTCGTTTAAAAACTTTGCAAGTCGTTTAAAAACGTTGCAAGTCGTTTAAAAACGTTGCAAGTCGTTTAAAAACGTTGCAAGTCGTTTGAAAACGTTGAAAATCGTTTGAAAACGTTGCAAGTCGTTTAAAAAACGTTGCAGGTCGTTTAAAAACGTTGAAAATTGTTTAAAAACGTTGAAAATTGTTTAAAAACGTTGCAAGTCGTTTAAAAACGTTGCAACTCGTTTAAAAAAGTTTGCGAGTCGTTTAAAAACGTTGAAAGTCGTTTAAAAACGTTGAAAGTCGTTTAAACACGTTGAAAGTCGTTTAAAAACGTTGCAAGTCGTTTAAAAACGTTGCAGGTCGTTTAAAAACGTTGCCGGTCGTTTAAAAACGTTGCCGGTCGTTTAAAAACGTTGCAAGTCGTTTAAAAACGTTAAAAGTCGTTTAAAAACGTTGCAACTCGTTTAAAAAAGTTTGCGAGTCGTTTAAAAACGTTGAAAGTCGTTTAAAAACGTTGCGAGTCGTTTAAAAACGTTAAAAGTCGTTTAAAAACGTTGCCGGTCGTTTAAAAACGTTGCGAGTCGTTTAAAAACGTTAAAAGTCGTTTAAAAACGTTGCCGGTCGTTTAAAAACGTTGCCGGTCGTTTAAAAACGTTGCCGGTCGTTTAAAAACGTTGCGAGTCGTTTAAAAACGTTGCGAGTCGTTTAAAAACGTTGCGAGTCGTTTAAAAACGTTGCAAGTCGTTTAAAAACGTCGTTTAAAAACGTTGCAACTCGTTTAAAAAAGTTTGCGAGTCGTTTAAAAACGTTGAAAGTCGTTTAAAAACGTTGCAGGTCGTTTAAAAACGTTGAAAATTGTTTAAAAACGTTGAAAATTGTTTAAAAACGTTGCAAGTCGTTTAAAAACGTTGCAACTCGTTTAAAAAAGTTTGCGAGTCGTTTAAAAACGTTGAAAGTCGTTTAAAAACGTTGAAAGTCGTTTAAACACGTTGAAAGTCGTTTAAAAACGTTGCAAGTCGTTTAAAAACGTTGCAGGTCGTTTAAAAACGTTGCAGGTCGTTTAAAAACGTTGCCGGTCGTTTAAAAACGTTGCCGGTCGTTTAAAAACGTTGCCGGTCGTTTAAAAACGTTGCCGGTCGTTTAAAAACGTTGCGAGTCGTTTAAAAACGTTGCGAGTCGTTTAAAAACATTGCAAGTCGTTTAAAAACGTTAAAAGTCGTTTAAAAACGTTGCAACTCGTTTAAAAAAGTTTGCAACTCGTTTAAAAAAGTTTGCGAGTCGTTTAAAAACGTTGAAAGTCGTTTAAAAACGTTGAAAGTCGTTTAAAAACGTTGCAAGTCGTTTAAAAACGTTGCAGGTCGTTTAAAAACGTTGCCGGTCGTTTAAAAACGTTGCCGGTCGTTTAAAAACGTTGCCGGTCGTTTAAAAACGTTGCGAGTCGTTTAAAAACGTTGCAAGTCGTTTAAAAACGTTAAAAGTCGTTTAAAAACGTTGCAACTCGTTTAAAAAAGTTTGCGAGTCGTTTAAAAACGTTGAAAGCCGTTTAAAAACGTTGCGAGTCGTTTAAAAACGTTAAAAGTCGTTTAAAAACGTTGCCGGTCGTTTAAAAACGTTGCGAGTCGTTTAAAAACGTTAAAAGTCGTTTAAAAACGTTGCCGGTCGTTTAAAAACGTTGCCGGTCGTTTAAAAACGTTGCCGGTCGTTTAAAAACGTTGCCGGTCGTTTAAAAACGTTGCGAGTCGTTTAAAAACGTTGCGAGTCGTTTAAAAACGTTGCAAGTCGTTTAAAAACGTTAAAAGTCGTTTAAAAACGTTGCAACTCGTTTAAAAAGTTTGCGAGTCGTTTAAAAACGTTGAAAGTCGTTTAAAAACGTTGCAGGTCGTTTAAAAACGTTGAAAATTGTTTAAAAACGTTGAAAATTGTTTAAAAACGTTGCAAGTCGTTTAAAAACGTTGCAACTCGTTTAAAAAAGTTTGCGAGTCGTTTAAAAACGTTGAAAGTCGTTTAAAAACGTTGAAAGTCGTTTAAACACGTTGAAAGTCGTTTAAAAACGTTGCAAGTCGTTTAAAAACGTTGCAGGTCGTTTAAAAACGTTGCAGGTCGTTTAAAAACGTTGCAGGTCGTTTAAAAACGTTGCCGGTCGTTTAAAAACGTTGCCGGTCGTTTAAAAACGTTGCCGGTCGTTTAAAAACGTTGCGAGTCGTTTAAAAACGTTGCGAGTCGTTTAAAAACATTGCAAGTCGTTTAAAAACGTTAAAAGTCGTTTAAAAACGTTGCAACTCGTTTAAAAAAGTTTGCGAGTCGTTTAAAAACGTTGGAAGTCGTTTAAAAACGTTGAAAGTCGTTTAAAAACGTTGAAAGTCGTTTAAAAACGTTGAAAGTCGTTTAAACACGTTGAAAGTCGTTTAAAAACGTTGCAAGTCGTTTAAAAACGTTGCCGGTCGTTTAAAAACGTTGCCGGTCGTTTAAAAACGTTGCCGGTCGTTTAAAAACGTTGCCGGTCGTTTAAAAACGTTGCCGGTCGTTTAAAAACGTTGCGAGTCGTTTAAAAACGTTGCGAGTCGTTTAAAAACGTTGCAAGTCGTTTAAAAACGTTAAAAGTCGTTTAAAAACGTTGCAACTCGTTTAAAAACGTTGAAAGTCGTTTAAAAACGTTGCGAGTCGTTTAAAAACGTTGCAAGTCGCCTACAAACGTTGTAACTCGCCTAAAAACGTTGCAAACCATCTGAAAAAGTTCGAAAGAGCCTGAAAGCATCTGAAAATTGACTGAAAATGGTGCAAATTGTTTGAAAATATTCTAAAGAGTCTGAAAACGTCTGAAAATGTTGCAAATTGTTCTAAAGAGTCTGAAAACATCTGAAAATTGCCTGAAAATACTGCAAATTGTCTGTAATGTTGCAAAACGTCTATAAAAGTTACAACTCGCCTAAAAGCGTTGCAACTCGCCTAAAAGTGTTGCAACTTGCCTAAAAGTGTTGTTGGTCGTCTAAAAACGTTGCAACACGTCTGAAAACGTTGTCAAGCGTCCAAAAAAGTTGCAAATCGCCTGTAAATGTTGCAAAATGCCTCCAAATGTCGCGAAAAGCCTCCAAATGTTGCAAAATGCCTCCGAATGTTGGAAAACGCCTCCAAATGTTACAAAATATTGTAAATCATTTACAAATATTACAAACTATCTGAAAATGTTGCAAGTCGTCTGAAAATCTAGCCAAGCGTCTATAAATGTTGCGAAAGGCCTCCAAAAGTTGCAAAAGGCCTCCAAATATTGCAAAATGGCTCCAAATATTGCACAAATCGCCTCCAAATGTTACAAAAGGCCTCCAAAAGTTGCAAAACGGCCTCCAAAAGTTGCAAAAGGCCTCCAAACGTTGCAAAAGGCCTCCAAATGTTGCAAACCATTTACAAATATTGACCTGACTTCAATAAAATATTACAAACTATCTGAAATTGTTGCAACTCGTCTAAAAATATTACCAAGCGTCTGAAAATGTAGCAAATTAATTATAAATGTTGCAAATTGTTTATAAACATTACAACTCGTCCAAAAACGTTGCAAACCGCCTAAAAATGTTGCAACTTGCCTAAAAATCTTGCCAAACGAGTCGACTTCAAATCAATTTCTACCTACTATTTTCGTTTTTGAGTATAAATTTTCCATTTCTTTAATTTCACTTACCTTGTCCATCAATCATATAACTGATCATCATAATCTGATCGGTTTGCGCATCTGGAAACTTCAGAGGCAACTTTGTCGTTTCAATATCGAAAGCAAAGACTACAGGATCTGGTCTTTCTATAATATCGGGTCTTGCAGTTATCACTGGCATATCAGTACGACCTCGACATCTTATCGTGTACCAGGAACCACAAAAGATTTTTAAGTCGATTGAAACTCTAACATGGTAAGGGACATCGTGCTCCCTATAAAAGATAATTGATAGAAAAAAAATGTATAATTGAATTATTATTTATATATCAAATATAAATATAAATATAAATGCAAAATATAAATATAAATGCAAAATATAAATATAAATGCAAAATATAAATATAAATGCAAAATATAAATATAAATGCAAAATATAAATATAAATGCAAAATATAAATATAAATGCAAAATATAAATATAAATGCAAAATATAAATATAAATGCAAAATATAAATATAAATATAAATATAAATGCAAAATATAAATATAAATGCAAAATATAAATATAAATATAAATATAAATGCAAAATATAAATATAAATGCAAAATATAAATATAAATGCAAAATATAAATATAAATGCAAAATATAAATATAAATGCAAAATATAAATATAAATGCAAAATATAAATGCAAAATATAAATATAAATGCAAAATATAAATATAAATGCAAAATATAAATATAAATGCAAAATATAAATATAAATGCAAAATATAAATATAAATGCAAAATATAAATATAAATGCAAAATATAAATATAAATGCAAAATATAAATATAAATGCAAAATATAAATATAAATGCAAAATATAAATATAAATGCAAAATATAAATATAAATGCAAAATATAAATATAAATGCAAAATATAAATATAAATGCAAAATATAAATATAAATGCAAAATATAAATATAAATGCAAAATATAAATATAAATATAAATATAAATGCAAAATATAAATATAAATGCAAAATATAAATATAAATGCAAAATATAAATATAAATGCAAAATATAAATATAAATGCAAAATATAAATATAAATGCAAAATATAAATATAAATGCAAAATATAAATATAAATGCAAAATATAAATATAAATGCAAAATATAAATATAAATGCAAAATATAAATATAAATGCAAAATATAAATATAAATGCAAAATATAAATATAAATATAAATATAAATGCAAAATATAAATATAAATGCAAAATATAAATATAAATATAAATATAAATGCAAAATATAAATATAAATGCAAAATATAAATATAAATGCAAATATAAATATAAATGCAAAATATAAATATAAATGCAAAATATAAATATAAATGCAAAATATAAATATAAATGCAAAATATAAATATAAATATAAATATAAATGCAAAATATAAATATAAATGCAAAATATAAATATAAATGCAAAATATAAATATAAATGCAAAATATAAATATAAATGCAAAATATAAATATAAATGCAAAATATAAATATAAATGCAAAATATAAATATAAATGCAAAATATAAATATAAATGCAAAATATAAATATAAATGCAAAATATAAATATAAATGCAAAATATAAATATAAATGCAAAATATAAATATAAATGCAAAATATAAATATAAATGCAAAATATAAATATAAATGCAAAATATAAATACAAATGCAAAATATAAATATAAATGCAAAATATAAATATAAATGCAAAATATAAATACAAATGCAAAATATAAATATAAATGCAAAATATAAATATAAATGCAAAATAAATATAAATATAAATGCAAAATAAATATAAATATAAATGCAAAATAAATATAAATATAAATGCAAAATATAAATATAAATGCAAAATATAAATATAAATGCAAAATATAAATATAAATGCAAAATATAAATATAAATGCAAAATATAAATATAAATGCAAAATATAAATATAAATGCAAAATATAAATATAAATGCAAAATATAAATATAAATGCAAAATATAAATATAAATGCAAAATATAAATATAAATGCAAAATATAAATATAAATGCAAAATATAAATATAAATGCAAAATATAAATATAAATGCAAAATATAAATATAAATGCAAAATATAAATATAAATATATAAATAAATATAAATAAATATAAATATAAATATAAATATAAATTATGAATTATGAATTATTATTAGATAGATTTATTATTATTATTATTACCTGACATCGATGATGTGATCCATGTGATCTAAATATTTTACAGAATGCTCTTCATCGTTTCCAGCTAAAGAGTTTTTTAAAGACTGTATATAGAATGTGTTGGCTTTTTCGCGTTCTTTATTCTTTTTTACAACTTGTAATAAGTGTCTGCGTACTTTTGTCAGTACACTTATGTTTGGGAACCATAATTTTAAATAGGTTTGTTTCAAACCAATTAAATGGTTGTGCTAAAAAGATATAAGCAATAATAAAAAAATTATGAAATAATTAATATTGTAGTTTATTTATAGATAAACAAGTATAAATAGATTTCAAATACAGTTGATTTGAAATTGCATAAATTTTAATTCTTTCATAGATGTCGCCACCGACCGTAGCACGTAAATTTACCCTTAGGTTTAATTCTAAGAAAAGATTTATTTGAATATATAATATAGAAAAGATAAACCCGATTAGTTTGACTAAATGAAATGAGAACAAAATATACGCATACAAAATATATTAAACATTTTTTTCATTTATCTTAGAATATATAAAATTGGTACTTAAGGAGTTAAATGTATATTTTTGCCACTTTTTTTCTGGCCCAAGGAAATGTAATAAAATCATGATATTAAAGATTTCTTGAATTATTAATTGTAATTTAAAGTAACGTAATAAAATATAATTGTAAAAAAAATAATTTCAGCAATTAACAAATTCACAAATTAACATATGGAAAAACGTGAAAATATTCTAAAGAGCTCGAAAACGTTCAACGTATATTATAAATGTTCCGAAGTGCCTGAAAATGTTCTAAACAGTCTGAAAACGTTCTAAAGAGTCTGAAAATGTTCTAGGTATATTAAAAATGTTCTAAAGAGTCAGAAAAGGTTCTAAATAGCCTGAAAATATTCTAAAGAGTCTGAAAATGGTCTAGGTAAACTAAGAATGTTCAAAATACCCTCAAAATATCCTAAAGGGCCTGAAAACATATGAAAATCGTCTGAAAATGATGCAAAACGTCTGAAAATGTTGAAAATTATTATGAATATTGCAAATTGCTTGAAAATACACTAAATCTTTTATAGGTGTTGCAAAGCGCCTGAAATTGTTGAAAATCTTCCAGGAAGTTGGAAAGTGCCTGAAAACGTTTTAAATCAGTTGAAAATGTTGCAAACCGTCTGAACATGTTGCAAATCGCCTCCAAATGTTGCGAATGGCCTCCAAATGTTGCGAACCAATTACAAATATTGCGAACCAATTACAAATATTACAAATTATCTGAAGATGATGCAACTCGTCTAAAAATGTTGCGATTCGCCTCCAAATGTTGCGAATCGTCTCCAAATATTACGAACCAATTATAAATATTACAAACTATCTGAAAATATTAAAACTCGTCTGAAGATGATGCGACTCGTCTGAAAATGTTCCAAATCGCCTCCAAATGTTGCAAATCGCCTTCAAATGTTGCAAACCATTTACAAATATTACAAACTATCTGAAAATGTTGCAACTTGTCTGAAAATGTTGAAAATCGCTACTAAATATTGCGAATTGCCTCCGAATATTGCAAATCGCCTCCGAATGTTGCGAATCGTCTCCAAATGATGCAAACCAATTACAAATATTACAAACTATCTGAAAATGTTGCAACTCGTCTGAAAACGTTACAAAACGTCTGAAAATGCTATGACACATGTATAAATGCTGCGAAACGTCTAAAAATATTACAAATCGCCTCCAAATGTTGCAAAACGCCTTCAAAAATCAAAGCCAGGACTCGAACCGAGTGTACAAAGCGCGTAAAGCCCGGGCATGCTACTGACTAAGCTATTCAACAATCTGAATTCTACTCAATTTCAATCCAACAAAAGTATAAAACCAGTGCAATAATGATAATATTCTAGCACCTCCCCCCACGAAGTAATGCCTAACGACGGTCCGACATACTCAGACAAAAGACCTAGTTTTACACACATACATCAATTTTTTCTGGGGTATGCCAGTAAAATGTTCAGAAACCTTCAAAACGTCGAGAAATGCAAAAATTTTCATTTTTGATTTTCTATTATTATTATAGTTTATTCTTACCAGTTCTAAGTCTTCCTTCTCGATAGATTCAATTTTTAATATCTGTCCTGAATATTTCTTGATTAAAAACCTCGATACTTCAAGCGTGTGTTTTTCAAAAGTCTTCACCAAGAGATAAGGCTGATAGACGACTGTTGCTTTGAAACGTGATCCGTCCATTTGCATGAAGTACATATCTAAGGCACTGACCAACTTTCGGTCCTCATCCAACACTTCGGTCTAAAATAATAATAAATATATATAATAATTTTACTAACTATTGATTTAAAATTAATATAATGGTAAACTTTTAAAAAATCGATTTAGGCATTTTATTTATTTTTTGAACAAACAACCAAGGGACTTTACTGATGAGCAAACTATAAATAATTTAAAAAAGGGGACTCTACTGACAAGCAAACTAAAAATAAAAAAAAGGACTCCACTGACGAGGAAACTGAAAGTTAAAGAAGAAGATACTCTACTGACAAGCAAAAAGGGACTCTACTGGCAAGCAAACAAAAATTTGAAGTAAAAGAGACTCTACTGACAAGCAAACTAAAAGTTGAAGGAAAAAGACTCTACTGACAAGCAAAAAGGGACTCTAATGACAAGCAAATTGAATTTTTTTAAAAAGAGAACTCTACTGACAAGCACAAAGGGACTCTACTGACAAACTAAAAATTAAATGGGATTCTAGTGATGAGGAAAAGGGACACTACTGACAAGCTAATTGAAAATAAAAAAAATGACTACTGATGGGAGAAGGGACTCTACTGACGAGCAAACTACAAAAAATTAAAAGGAGACTCTACTGATGAGCAAAAAAGGACTCTACTGATGAGCAAACTAAAAGTTGAAGAAAAAAAGACTTTACTGATGAGGAAAAGGGACTCTACTGACAAGCAAACTACAAAAAAATTAAAAAAGAGGCTCTACTGATGAGCAAGAAAGGACGAGCAAACTGACAATTTTTAAAAAGAGGACTCTACTAGCAAAATAAAAATTAAAAAAAAAGAACTCTATTAATGATAAAAAAGGACTCTACTGACAAACAACAAGGGACTCTACTGACAAGCAAATTAAAAATGAAAAAAAGGCTCTACTGATGAGGAAAAGGGAATCTACTGCCAAGCAAACTAAAAATAAAAAAAAGAGGACTGTACTGATAAGGAAAAGGAACTCTACTGATGAGCAAACTAAAAGTTGAAGAAAAAGAGACTCTACTGACAAGTAAAAAGGGACTCTACTGACGAGCAAACTAAAAGTTGAAGAAAAAGAGGACTCTACTGATGAGGAAAAGGAACTCTACTGACAAGCAAACTAAAAGTTAAAGAAAAAGAGACTATACTGATGAGGAAAAGGGACTCTACTGACGAGCCATCTAAAAGTTGAAGGAAAAGAGACTCTACTGACAAGCAAAAAGAGACTCTACTGACGAGCAAACTAAAACTTTTAAAAAGTGGACTCTACTGACAAGCAAACTACAAAAAATTAAAAAGAAAGGACTCTACTGATAAGCAAAAAGGGACTCTACTGACAAGCAAACTAAAAATTTTAAAAAGAGGACTCTACTGATGAGGAAAAGGGTCTCTATTAACGAGCAAACTAAAAATAAAAAAAGGACTCTACTGACAAGCAAAAAGGGACTCTACTGACAAGCAAACTAATTTTTTTTTAAAAAGAGACTCTACTGATGAGGAAAAAAGACTCTACTGATGGGCTAATTAAAAATTGAACAAAAGAGACTCTACTGACAAGCAAACTACAAAAAATTTAAGAAAGAGGACTCTACTGACAAGCAAAAAGGGACTCTACTGACGAGCAAATTAAGAATTTAAGAAAGGGGACTCTACTGATGAGCAAAAAGGGACTATATATTATTGATGTAAACAAATCTTTTTTATATTATTTATTGTAGTATTATTGAAGTATTTATTTTTATATAAAGAGTTTTGTATGTTCTATATAAGTATTTACCGAATGCATATTAATAAGGAAACCAGTCCTTTCTTGGCTGTCTTTAACTCTCTCGAACCCATATTTAGAATCAATCTCATCGTTTTCTCGAGACTGTCTGTAACCAAACTCTTCCTCTCTAAAAAAAAGAAAACATTGATGTAAATATATATATATATATATATATATATATATATATATATATATATATATAGTCATAAACAACTAAACATATAAGTATAAATAAAAGGTAATAAAATATAACAAATATTATATACATATAACAAAATAAATTACACATTTATGTACAATATGCAAAGACACCAACAAATCATATTTACATCTTATTTAAACAATTATAAACATATTTATTCCATTTCTTTCCTCTCATAACCTCAATCTTTTTCCCACCTGCTAAAATTTTGTGCCTCGTATTTTCCGGTATTCACAGCCATAATTTATTATTATCAAAACAACGAGCACAATATTTAAAATAAATTAAAACATTAGTTTATATTAAAAGGCATTTTAAAACATTTATTTAATCATTTTGCAGAACTGTTTAACGAATGTCTCGAACTTTTGACAGTTGCTTGTGAAGTTTGTGTCGAGATACATTTCGCGCCATTTTGAAGTCGGCGCGAAATTTAAAAAGTAATTTTAAACTTAGAGGTAATAGTTAAATAATTATATATATTTATTATGTTATAATATATTATTAATATATTCTATTATAAATATTTGTTTATATTATAAAGCATTTTAAAACATTTATTTATACATTTTGCAAAATTGTTTAACGACGTTTTGACAGTTTTAACAGTTGTCTGTGAAGTGTGGTACGTTTCATTTTGCGCCATTTTGAAGTTAGCGCCAAATTTAAAAAGTAATTTTAAAATTAGAGTTAATTATTAAATACATATTTCTTTATTTATGATTAAATGTATGATTTATTATTACTAGTTAAACAACCAACATAGCATTTAAAACTAATTAAAATATTAGTTCATATTAAAAATCATTCTAAAACATTTATTTAATAATTTTGCACAATTGTTTTTAAGTAATTTTAAACTTACAGTTAATAATAATTAAATACATATTTCTTTATCTATGATTAAATATATTATTTATTATTATTAGTAACTAGTTGTATTCATATTTGTATTATTTATACATAGCTATAAACAAATACAATTATATGGTATGTATAAATTATAACAATATGTGATGTTAAATAAATATGAAAAAGAAAATATATATAGCAGAATAAAAGCACCTTGCTAATATGACTTCTATATTATTTAATATTATTTTTTTTATTTATTATTTACTAATAATCAATAATATTGTTTTATATTATAAATTTCAATCAGCAACTATATATATATAAAATTTTAAGCAAAAATGTGCATTTATTGTTTGTATCCTTCACAGATCCTAAACCATTCGTTTAGTATGAATGTGATATTTAACAAATTTGTGTGAAATTAAATTATCTACAATATTTATTAGTATTCCAAACCCTTCAGCAACTCGGTGTACCTTAAAATCACCGTCAAAGATAAAAAAAGTGTACTGATAATTTACAATTGCAATGTCACCTTATGAGCGTACTGAATATGCATTTAATGCTTATATCCTTCATAGATCCTAAACCATTCGTTTAGTATGAATGTGGTATACAACAAATTTGTACTAAATTAAATTATCTACAATATTTACTAATATTCCAAAGCCCTACAGCAACTCGGTGTACCTTAAAATCACCTCTAAAGATAAAACATTGTACTGAGTATACAGAAACTACTTATGTTTCTTGTATCTTTTAAACCATTCGATTAGTATGAATGACGTATTAAGGTTAAAAATATTTGAATAGCTTATCTTAATCTTTTCTTTAAAAAATAAATATTTATCTCGTCGAGTTGAACAAACTCGAAACAATTCGCATAAACCGCAAACGTAAAATAAAGATTATCTTTATTATTTTTGCAACCTGAATCTCGTATGTAAATGTTAGGCTGGGTTCACATGGACGAGGAGAAGGAACAATAATAATTAAAATTAGACTTGAAAAAATCTTTTTGATGTAATACTATATTTGAAGTTTGGCTCTTTGAAGATCAGAGACATAGATTCTCGATTGGATTTAAAAAAGTATCTCGAAATATTCAAGATGTATATAGAAATTAATTAGTGGTGTATGGCACATTTTGAAAAAAATAGATTTGTCATAATTTTGAAAAAATTAAGTTTTTTCTTATCATTTTGAATAAATTAAAAATTTGTGATAATTTTGAAAAAATTGAATATTTTTGATAATTTAAAAAAAAAAATTATGATAGTTTTGAAATTTTCAGAAAATTTTGATTTTTTTTTTATTAATATTTATAATATAATAAATAAATAAACTAATTTTTTATGATAATTTTGAAAAAAATAAATATTTTTGTTATTTTGAAAAATTAAATATTTTATGATAATTTAAATTTTTTTTTGATAATTTTAAGAAATTCAGAAAATTTTGATTTTTTTAAATGAAATTTCAACTTTTTCGAGACAAAATTTCGAAGTGCGATAGCGCCGCATCGCACGATTAAATGTTATGAAATTGGTACGGAACCTAGAAAAATGTTAACAAAATTTGTTCTTATTATTAAAATATCTATAAAATATCTGATAATTTGATGTGCATATGTCTAACGATCATTTTTAATCGCCAAATATCATTTTTTCTTTACTTCTTCCTCTATATCTCCAAAACCGTTGGACCTGCCTTACCAAAAATTTAATCAATTATTCAATCCATTAATTAAGTAAAATATTTTTTGAATCATTCAAATCGGACACTCAGTTCTCTCAAAATCTAAAATACCATTTTCTGCACTCTTTGCTCTGTATCTCCGAAACGGCTAGACCTGTCTTTGCCAAAAACTAATCAATAGGAATCGAATGTTTTAGAAATCATTGAAATCAGTTTAGCCGTTCTCCCAAAAAACGTCGGCAAAAAATTGTATCCGCACGTGCATACATACTACACACATATAAACACAAATTCACTCATTTTTTAAGATATTCCAAAATGTTAAGGAGGTTCTAGAACGTAGACATGTGGAAAAAAATTTATGTTTGAAAGGTAACGCAAAGGAATGTGAACGCAACCTAATACTCTTGTCATCATTGTGAGTTGCTCTATTTGTTTACTAACAATAAAGTAATAAGAAGATTATTGTTATATATATATATATAAATATATATATATATATATATATATATATATATTTGTGCAGAAATTAAATGCGCAGATATTTAATTCAGGGCATCGTCCTTACAATTAGAAAAATAAACAAGCTCAAGTTCTAATTTGATAAAGTTTTTTATAATTCGTTTTTTAAAAATAGAATATATATATATATTTATATATATATATATATATATATATATCTTATATATGAAATAAGGGCTCTACTAAATATAAGGTGTGATGAAATTCTGAAAAATCTGAACCGGTTTGGCCACAATTTTGAAATATATGTGCTAATTCAGAGGTTGTGCTAAAAGTGAGATATTATTTCAAAATCACGTAGAAACTTTACATTTTAAATTTGAAAATTTGTATATTAACTATTTAGAGAGAGTCTATTTTCTATTTTCAGTCCAAATTTAAGTTTGTTCGTCAGTAGAGTCCCTTTTTTATTTTTCAGTAAAATTTAAGTTTGCTCGTCAGTAGAGTCCATTTTTTATTCTTCAGTCTAAATTTAAGTTTGATCGTCAGTAGGGTCAATTTTTAATTTTTTTAGTCCAAAATTAAGTCTGCTCGTCAGTAGAGTCTATTTTTTATTTTTCAGTCCAAATTTAAGGTTGCTCGTCAGTAGAGTGCCTTTTTTATTTTGCTGTCCAAAATTAAGTTTGCTCGTCAGTAGAGTCTATTTTTGATTTTTTGGTCTAAAATTTCGTATGCTCGATAGTAGAGCCCATTTTTTTTTATTTTTCAGTCCAAAATTAAGCTTGCTCGTCAGTACAGTCCCTTTTTAATTTTTCAGTACAAATTTAAGTTTGATAGTCAGTAGAGTCCCTTTTTTATTTTTTAGTCCAAAATTAAGTTTGCTCGTCAGTAGAGTCCATTTTTAATTAAGTTTGCTCGTCAGTAGTGTACATTTTTAATTTTTACTTCAAAATTTAGTTTGCTTGTCAGTAGAGTTCCCTTTTGATTTTTTAGTCCAAAATTGACATTGATCGTCAGTAGCGTCCTTTTTCATCTCAATCAGTAGAGTTTATAATTTAATATTGATTTAGACTTATATAAAAAAAGAAATAATTTATTTCACAAAATTTTGCTGACAGTTTTCATATTCGTCGAAGTTCACATCGGTCTGTTTCTCTCTTTCTAACATAAGCGAGCAGAAAGAGAGAGACTGATGTAATTTTATAAAATTTTTATTTTTATTAATTTAAATAAAAATCAAAAAGTTTTTCCAGTGCGCGGTTTTTTATTTGTGAAAAGTCTGGATTAATATTTATTTTTGAAAATTAAATACGGTTTTAATTCAAATATTGAAAACATTGTTTCTATTTTATTACACGGATATATAAATAAATTTTGGCAAATTTGTTTGCATTAACGGTCTGGCGGACAATTTTAATATTTATTTTCCAAAATAATATATATATATATATATATATATATATATATATATATATATATATATATATATAATGTTTGCACAGTATAGAATTTCATAACTCATATATTTATTCTATCATTCATTACATCAGTATTATTAGAAATGTGAATTAATATAATTAAATTGATATAAAATTAGATATCGACTATAATTTAAAAATTTCCTGCCGGTAAGTTGCTGTTAACAAATATTATTACTATGTTATTATTGATTTCGACATTTTGCTTGAATAACATGTTTTTGCAAATTTTTCAAAAAAAACGTCTGGCACTTGTTCAAATATTTGTGAAAATCCATCCAATGATGGAAAAAGAATCACAAACGAATGAATATTGACAAAAAAATATATATTTATTTATATATATATATATATATATATATATATATATATATATATATATATATATATAATATATATATATATATATATATATATATATATATAATATAACTCTGTACCTTTTATTTATTTCGACTAAAATTAAGTTTGCTGGTCAGTAGAGTCCATTTTTGAATTAAATTTGATCGTTTTTTTTTGTTTTTTTGACTAAAATTAGATTTGCTCGTCAGTAGAGTCCTTTTTTGATTTTTTGGACCAAAATTGAATTTGCTCGTCAGTAGAGTCATTTTTTATTGTTTAGTACAAAATTAAGTTGGCTCGTCAGTAGAGTCCTTTCTTTTATCCAAAATTAAGTTTGTTTTCTATAAAAATAATAAAGTTTGTTCGTCAGTGGAGTCCCTTTTTTGGTTTTTCGACTAAAATTAGATTTGCACGTCAGTAGAATCCATTTTTTAGTCCAAAATTAAGTTTGTTCGTCAGTAGAGTCATTTTTTTATTGTTTATTACAAAATTAA